TCTAACCTTTTATTAATCTGATTAACCTCATTTCTTAAATTAGAATCATTTTCATGATATAATTCATAAATTCCTCTTTTCTTATCTCTGTCATATAATTCAAAAGAGGTTTGATATCTAGAATTTTCACTTGAATTCTCATAAAGGTTGTAAATCTCATCAGAGGTTTTCTCCATAAAGGATTTTCCACATAGAAAATCAATCATATTTCTATATTGTTCTCATAATTCATCATCAAAAATTCTATTAAACTACCACTTGGATATAACATGATAATGATAGTTTCTAAGTAAATCTTTGATTTTTTTCCATGTCTCATGCAAAGTTTTTCCTGGCCTTTGAGCAAAACTTCATATATATTTTCTCATATTTTGAGTTTTTCTTAAGGGATCATTTTTTTGAAGAAATGCTTATTCTATATCTTTCCAACTAGTTAATTCTCCATCTAATATGGATAGCCAATAGTAGTTAGCCTTGTCCCTAAGTGTATAAGGAAATAATTTCATCTTATAATTTTTGATGTTACTTGAGGGAAATAAACTAAATTAAAAATCATATAATTTTTTTCTAAATGCTGATGAGGTTCTTCTAAAAGTAATCCATGAAAATTAGGGAGCATTTAGGAAATTTCTGAATTTATTTTGAATTTAATAATAGATGTTAATAGGACTCTAATATTGGATGCTCATTGATACAAATCAGGGATATAGTAATTTTTCATAGCCATTAGATTACTACCAGTTTGACTTGTACTACCTTCAAGATCCATCAAAATTAATTTTTATTTCGAATTTTTAGTGTTGGACGAAGTAGTGGAAGAATTTTTTAGCCTTAGGTGTAAGAATCTTCTACCATACATAAAAATCAATAAATTTAAGAAAAAGGTTTAATAATTGTTACCTTCCTTTAGTTTGCTCTAATGCTTACCTTGTTGATTTTTGTTCTCTCTCTTTTTTAAATTTTTCTACAAAAATAAAATAAGAGTTATTTTTTTTTGTGTACTCTAAGAGAAAAACATAAAAATACCAAATATTATGTAATACATGCCCGACCACGGCACCAAAATTTGACGTGACTTAGTCATTATAATAAATCACATAAATTTAAAATTTATGAAACTAGAAAATACCAATTTTCAGATATTTAGAAGTATTTTTGAATAAATATATCAATTATAATTCAATAAAAGTTTCAAAAAATAGTGATAATTTTCTAAGTTGATCACAAGAATATAATATAATATCAGATAACATTTTAGAATGTTTCTCAAAGAATACAATTTTTTATAAATTTTAGACTAAAAAATAAAAATAAAATATATTTAAAATTTACGATAAGGAAAAATAAGGGTGCGGACGTCAGGATGACGTCAACACTCGATGAACATGAATCAGAAAAAAATAGAATTTTTTCTAATGATTCTTACGTTAGCGATTACAGACGATTTAATTGGTCAAATTAAGATTTGTAAAAGCTAGAAGAATCGTAATTGAATGAAGAGTAGTTTAGAAAATTTAAATCACATAAATTATCTCTAAATGAAATAAAAATTAAATTGAAAGTAGAAAAAATAGAGTTCTATTGTCACGACGGCGATGCGTCGATAATGTACTAGAATCCTAAGCATTCGAGAGGATTGTCATGTAGTGTCTATGGCCTCGAAAACTCTTGGATAAGGACGATCTGAACAATCTCTAGATTTTCTTGCAAAGTCTAGAGATCAATGAAATAAGTCATTGAATCGTTTCCAACGGCTTCACCCAACGGAGCGAAAATACGACAATTTTGCAGTTGTCACCCGACGGAGAAGAGCTAGATGGAGGTGGGGCATGTGTCAAGGACCTTCATCCTCAGGTCCGCACAGCAAGAAGAGTTCTTTATTGCATTTGATATGCTCTCAAAAAGTGATGACTCGTCTCTCACCGGATCGTCTTTTTCTCGATGGTGGCATGTTCGTTGATCAATTGGAGATGATTTACCTGATGGATTCGTGAACCTTTTATCTCAAATTGTTCAATAATTTTAGTAACAATGCTACACGAATCGCGTTGATGAGATTTTCACTAATGATCAAGTGACTCTAGCGACTTAAGTCTTCACCGGTGATTTGCAAGAAAGTCACGAGTTAATCAGATAAAAATACGTCTTTTGGCTCTAGTAGGATTCGAACTTGCGCTGGTCGCCCACCTACATGAGAGAGAGGGAATAAGTATGCAAATATCCTTATAAAGTGACGTCATCAGGCTACCTCTTTATGATAAATAAAGGATATTTTTAGTATTAAAATCTTCAAAATCATTTCAAGGAAGATGTGACCGCCAATTAGTCCCACATCGATTATACACCAATTGTTGAGATGCATATATGATAATGCAAGATTTGGGAATCAATGAGTTCCTTTCTCGTGTGTGTACGACCACTCTTTGTCCCACAGTTGGTTGGGCATCGGTGATGTGGAAGGGGAGTTGTGCACATGTGCCCCCATCGGTCTATAGCTGCTTGAGTCCTTGCTCTTGGCTCTGCCTCGATTGCACTTCTGACCTACTTATAGGCCCAGTTTGCCGACGGGTCCCTCCTTTTTCTATTTTTTAAGTTTTTTTCTTTTTCTTTATTTATCTCAAAAATAGGATTATAAAAATCATATAAATTCGTATAAAATCATATAATTAGCCAAAAAATCACATTAACTAACTAAAAACCAATTTTCACAAATTAACATAAATATAAGTCTATTTATCAGGAGTTAAGGCTAAAAATATATTATTTATTAATTATTAACTCATGATAATGAAGACCTGTTAGCCATCAATCTTTGTCTTGGGACTTCCTCCATATATGTGAGATCATATTGATATCTTCATATACAAAATTAGAAATAGATTGCATGATCAAAGAAATTTGTGCCACATATATTATACAACCATTAATCAACCTATTTTTGAGTCATGGTTTATGAGTTCAAAAGAAATATAATACTTGAAGATTTGGTGTGGATTATCATATGTTAAATTTTGGCCACCATTCCTTATCATAGATTTGGTGGTAAATGAGCCTCTTGATGAATTACCCAATTATATGATATTTTCTAAACTCAATCTTTACTCAAGTTATCATCAAATATATCATTTGAATTATTCAATACCCCAACTAATTTTCAAGCACTTATGAACAACATCTTCCTCACAATATTAAGAAAATCTGTCCTTGTTTTCTTTGACAATACATTGATCTACAACCTTGATCACCACTCCCATTAAAAATATCTACATTAGGTCTTCTCTATCTCAACATCCCATAAATACATATTAACACCAAGAAATGAATCCTTCAGCCACAACTCACTATAATACTTGTGTCATAGGATCTTTGCAAAAAGTGTTGTAGTCAACTAAGACAAGATCATTGCAATCAAAGGTTGGTCTAATCCTGCCACTATTAATGAGTTTTGATAATTCCTTAATTTAATGAGTTATTGCAGAAGATATCTAAATAATTTAAACATTAATATATTCATGACAACAATCTTTAATTCAATTCACATCAGATATCATTAATTTCAAGATATTTAACTTATTTTTTAAAAATCATCAAAATCATATTTTCTCTTCCTTTTATCATATGTTGAGTTAATCCTTAACTCAACATATCTTCCTTTTATCACCTAAAGTTTATTTACAAATGAGAATTTATGATAATCATTCTCATCATTAAAAAATAGTAACATTATATATTGGGCCACCCATTTATCATTCATATGTGTCAGAAGGTTAAGGATTATGTTATTAAAGTTTAAGGGAATGTTGGGAAAGTATCTCTAAGGTTTGTTCCTATTTAAGGGACTTAAAATGTGAGAGAAAGGTTATAGATTGTTGTTTATTGTTCTCCCCTCTGTCCTCTATTACATATGTCATCTCTCTTTTGTCTATATTTTCTAACAATATGGATAAAATGAGTCTCAAATTTCGCTTAGAGTAATGACAAATTATTAGTTCAAAATCAAATTCAAGACAAGAGAAAAAAAAGGACAGTTAACAATATTTCAAAAATCTCAAATTGAAGTTTTCTCAAACAATTAATTGTATCTTTTCCTCATCTTTTAGACCACCAATAGTTTCACTTAGAAGTACATGTGTCACCTCAATTGTCTCAAATTAATCGTGACCTATAGGAGAACACATACCTCTCATTATTCTCTCCCTTGTGACCTCTTGCTTTATAAAGGGCATTATACTACCTTGAGATTATAATTTCATTCTAAAAAATTTCAAGGAATATCATACCTCTTCAATCAAGGGACACTTGAAATTTCTACGTACCTATAAACACATCAATCATGATCTCTATTAGAATGAGATGAAAAGACACATCAAAATAAATATGATGCTCTATCCTCTAGTTGTTTGCTACAATTGTGAGAATATATCTCAATGGATTTCATGGAAGGACTTTTTAAATTGAAAGTTTATTCATCTATCTTGGTGGTTTTAGATTAACTAAGAGATTCATTCATTGTTCTCCTCCTCAAGATATATGTACAGACTTTGATGTTTTTGGCATTTTCTTAAGTAAACTTAGAATTTTACTTTCTATTAGATTGAATTGTGAAGCATTGTTAAGTAACTTCTAGACCGAGCTATTTCACAGCATATTACCCACAAACAAATAGATGATATATAGTGGTTAACTACTACTTAGAAATTTACCACCAATGGTTTGTTCATTAGTACTCATGAATATGGATTTAGTGGCTTTCCTATACATAATATTATTACAACACCACCTTTTGTTCCACCATTAAGATGATGATATTTCAAGTTATTTATGGTTAGCCTCTTCTTCCACTAGTCTGCTTTAGCTCCCAAGCTATCTTGATTACATCTATTAAATAATTACTTCAAACTTGAGCTGTTATTCTAGATCAGCTTAACATACACTTAACTCAAGCTCAATCATGTAAGAAAATTTATCTTGACAAGTATTACCATGATCTCTCCTTCAACATGGACAATATGACCTATTTCAGACTGTCTTTATCATCATCAAACCCTCACTTGAAATCAAAATGAGAAGTTAGCTCTTCATTTTCTTTATCCTTATCACATTCTAGAGAAAATCGAGCAAGTAGCTTACAAATTGAACTTCACTTCACAATCCCACATCTAGTGTTCCACATTTCATAGTTTTCGAAGACCAATCATTTCAATCATTCAAATTATTTCTAATTCTTGACGATCACTTGTTTTGAGCCATTGAACCTCTTGCACTTCTTGACATTAGATATACCAACTTTAGCTATAAACTTCTCATCAAATAGAAAATATTTTTAGATTTTAAATCTTCTTAGAAATAAGCTACTCTTTTTTGACAATAATTTCCTGATTTTCACAATGAAGACAAGGTGATGTCTACAAAGGAGAGTATTGATAGATCTTCAAGAACACAATCTCCCACCATTGTGAGAACTGTTCTTCTAGATATGATTAATAATATTTTTGAAACATCATCAATATCTACAAAACCATGATAATAAGTTCCTTTACCATAATCAACAACTCCGTAGAACTCGGATGCCTCAACAACATAATGGCCACTCAAACTAAACACATAATTGAACGTACTCTTATAGGAAACAAAATAGAATGATATTTAATAGAAGAAATCTCTTATCTTGAAAGGAGGAGAGGGTTGAATATAGAATGTGGGGCCAGGAAAAGACAATCATTATCTCTCTCTCTATGGTTTTTATGTTCTCTCCTTGTCCCTTTATCTCTATATTCCTTCCTCTATTCTTTTCCTTGAAGTAATCATATACCTATGATGTATTCTCTTTTATAAGTTTGGAGTTTTTTCATTATCCTATAGTTAGAGGACCTAGTTGAAAGTTTTGCTAAATGTTAGAATTATTTGTCATTTAATGTTTTCATCTTATTATTACTTACGATAGTCAATCATTGGTTCTTTGATATGACATTTGCATCTACCAACACTATTAAAAGGCTCAGAAAACCATGAGCAGACAATGATTAGTTGTCCTGACTATAGAACATGGATCATTCTAATGGTGGCTGCTGATAGGACACTGTAGGTGACAATAGCCAATAGTCATCAACACCTTTTTTATGAAGATATGACATTTCAGTCCTTGTGTAGAATGATGTGTGGAACCACCCCCCTATAAGAACAACTAGGGGCTTAAGGAATATGGGAGGGGAGAGAGAGAGAGAGAGAGAGAGAGAGAGAGAGAGAGAGAGAGAGAGAGAGAGAGAGAGAGAGAGTTTTATGTATTTTCATAAGAGAGCTTTGAAGATTGGTAATCTCAAAATGGATTCTATTCTCCCTTGTCTCTATTTTTTCCTTTAGTTCTTTTTCTTTTTATTCTTTTCTTTGATGATAACTTCTACTAATCATGTTATCCACCATTTTTAATTATAGAATCATCTTTTTTGATCACACGACATGATCCCTCTCTCATTATTTCTGGCTCTTGTGATCTTAATTCAACAAGATCTATGAGGTCTTATCATCTTAGTATTACAGCCATCATGTTATCCATGGTCAGTGATAAGGTGGAACAAATAGATAAAGAGTTGGAAGAGATTTGCTAGGATATTTCTGTCCTTCAGCACAATATTGTTATCTTAATGCAACGAGATGAAGTGGTTGGTCAATAATGAACTATTTTTTTCACATTATAGAATAACATTCTCAATATATCAATTCTTCATCTTTGTATGCATTGGTCAAATGAATCCATTGAAAGACTATCAATGAGTTTAATCAAGATCTTGAAAGATCTAAAGGCTAGGCAAAATACCAAGAGGGGGGGGCGAATTGGTATTTTAAAAATCTCGGATTTTCTTTCTGGATAGTAGATGTGTCAACACGTGTTAACATAGCTCTGCGTAATTATCTACGTGCAGGATTATTTTCTCTCTCCTCCGGTGGGTTCTCACTATGAGACAAGAACTTTTAATATTGGTTCGTCCCTCACCTAGCTACTTAAGTCCAGGAATATCCTTCCTACAAGTATTCCACTATCTCCCTCAAAAGTACACACTGAAATTAATGGGATCAGTAGCTCAATACCTCAGGTTTGACCTCCGCAGAGATCCAACCCCTTCCGGGTCAAACAGGGCTGAGAGCACCTCATACCTCTGCCTAAAATCACTCTCCACTCACTACCGAGTTACCTTAGGCCTGATGGAGAGACTCCTTGAAATATTCAAGCTTTATCTTGATCGCCAATCGTTGATAAAGAAGGATGATGCAGTCTGCTCGCGGTTGAAGCTCGGCGGTGATGATTCTTGATCGTGAGAGAGATAACTCGTAGTAGATCAAAGTGGAATCGTTGTTGTTGATCTCATTAGCTTCCTTTACTTGTAGGGTGTCGTCCTCCAACGGATTTCCGCATTTTGCTCAAGAGATAAAATCGGAAAGTCAGTTCAAATACTTACCGTTTTCCGGAACGCGCGGCAACGACCTCTGACCATTGCGAATTTCTATTCTCTGGTCCGTTCGACTTGAAACTTGAACAGGAGATTCGTTTCTCACAGACGAACAACTTTCCTGTTGATTTCGTCTTCAGATTCGAACGTTAAGCTGGTCGTTTTCTCCACGTAAGCAGCTGACGTGTCATCGTCCAGATTTCCGGTTCGAGACTCACAAGAGCTCATTTGATATTTCGAACCATTTTCTTTTTCTTTTAATGATACACGTGACTAATGAATAATAGCTGCACCTAAATGGTTAAATAATCATGGATAAATGAACTAAAACCATAACCATAATTTACCTATTAAATATTTGTTTTCCAACAAATATTTATCCATATATATGTGGCGCTCCACGTATTCATCAATTTCACTTAATCTCAAGGTTACCAATAATGTCACAAGATAAATAATAGATTTATTTGCATGAAATCTATGAGGCATTTATGATAATCTTGTAAACAATATCAAACATGAATTATATATTTTCTCATATAATTGTACTATCAAAATTTATGCCCAAGGGCATCAATAGATCTACTATCTCAAGTACAAGATGATGACTCAACAACATATAAATGACCATGATGTTGTCATGAAGATTGACGTCAAGGAGGAGTGGAGGCAACTATAGCCAATGGTACAAGTTTGTTTTTGAAACCATCGAACAACAACTGCAAATTAGAGATGTTGATCTTCAATTGAGAAAATCTAGAAGGATAGATTTTATATAATGATTTATTCTTTTCAATACACTGAATTAATGATATTAAAAATTCGTGATTGCTGGTATAAGTATCAAAGGAAAGTTATTAACATGATTTAAGTGGATGATAAAATGAGAAGTTTTCAAGGGCTTACGTCATAAGTTATTAGAGGTGTTTAATAATAATCAATTTAATTTTCTTTGCCAACAATTCTTAGAGATTAAGTAAAAATGAATGATGACAAAATACTAAGAAAAGTTTGAATTCATGATGGCCATCATAGGTGATAATCAATAACGTGTCATTTAGAACAATTTTCTTAAGAGATTGAAGAAGAAAATTAGATTATAAGTAGGACTCTTAAAGTTGGTAAAGTTAAACACATTTATGCATATGGCACATAAGGTGGAGCCAATAAGTATCAACTTCTAGTCATCATATGGTAAGTTCAAGAATTATAAAACCACAAATGAGAGTAATTTATACAAGACTACACACTTTAGTAACAAAAACGTTTATTTAAATCCCATACACACAATCTTGAAGGAGGTTATGTAGAACGAATATAATAAGTGATGTTGACGAGAAGGGTTAAACCATAAGATTAGATTAACTTCGAATAAAGATATGCATGTATTTATAAGTAAGAGGAGAGAGAGAGAGATAATGGGCCCAAGTGGGCCATGTAGAGGAGGATGTCTGAACATTCTCCCTCAAACTAGAGCATGTAAGTTAAACATGTCAAGATTGGTATAAATAGCATCATAGGACACTCTTGTAAGACTCTTGATGAAGATATTTGCCAGCTGGTTGGATGAAGTGACATGTAGTATAGAGATAATCCATGTCAGAACTTTGTCTTAGATGTAGTGACAATCAATTTTGATGTGCTTGGTCTGCTCGTGAAATGTAGGATTCGTGGCAATAAAGATTGCTGCTTGATTGTTACAATACATAAACATAAGTGTTTGAAGAGTGACACCTAGGCTCTCCAGAAGAGAGCGAAGCCATACCATTTCATGTATAGTCTCAGTTATATAATAATATTCGGCTTCTACACTAGAACAAGATATCACATTTTGCTTCCTAAAGCCTAAAGTGACTAGGTTGTTACCAACATACATGTAGAAGTCAGTCGCCGACTTTCGATCTCTTTTGTCACCAGCATACCCAGTATCTATGTAGGCTTTAACACGTAGATGACCATGACATCTATAGATGAGCCCCTTCCCTAGAGCTCATTTGATATAGGCTAGGACACGTAGCAGTCCCCCTTAATGAACTTAATGAAGCTCTTGTATAAGTTGACTGGGAATACTGACTATATGTATGATGTCAGGATAAGTAATAGTGAGATATATTAGTTTTTCTAATAATTACTAATAGCGATTAACATCCTTAATTAGAGGTAAAGTCATAACCTAGAACTTTAGACGTGCCTCCATAGGTGATAACTTTGATTTGTAGCCAAGAAACCTCATTTCTTGAAGAAGGTCGAAGACATGTTTCCTCTGAGATGAAGTTAGCTTGCCTCACTAATAAGCAAACTCTATCATAAGAAAGTAGTGCAATGTCTCCAAGTATCTTGTGACAAAGTGTTCTTGCTGGTAGGCTTTGGTGGTAGAGATGCCTCCCTCATCACTCTTTGTCACAAGAATGTCATCAACATACACAACTAGGATGATCATATCTCCAAGTGTGGTCTTCGTCAAGATAGTGGGGTCAAAAATATATAGAGTGAAGCCGAAGATAGTAAGCTATTGAACTTCACAAACTAGATTCAATAACTCTACTTGTGTCCGTAGATAATATATTGAAGTAAAAAAACCTGAGAAGACTCCCCCTAGATAACATACCATGTAAGTTGCTCTATGAAAACTGATCCAAGTCATCATAGAGGAAAACAGTAGACACGTCTAACTAGTGAAGTGAAGTCTCCATGTAATCAATGTCATAGGCTTGAATGAAATCACGAGCAACTAAGTGAGCTTTGCGATGAGTGATTGAGCTATTTGAGTTGTACTTTAGTGTGAAGACCCACTTGCATGTCACAATGTTGACATCGGTCAGACGAAGGACAAACTTTCACATGCCATAAGAAACTAGTACTCTTATCTCTAAATCCATAACTACTTTCTAGGTAAAGGCCTAAAGTGGCTCAACATACGATTGTAGAATTGATTTTAAGGTCATGAAAAAGGTAAAAACATAAAAGGTGAGGTAAATGCAATCATAAAAGACAAAGTGGGATATACTCGATAACATCAATAGAGGTCACATAGCGACAGGTGCTGGAAAAATATACTCGATAACCCTTTTGGGTGCATGAGTAACCCACGAAGACACCTTTTAGAGCACAAGGAATGAGTTTAGAAAGAGATGACGAGTGATTATGAATGAAAGCGGTGCAACTAAAAACCTAAGGAAGTAAAGAAAAAAGAGAAGCATCGGGTATGACACGTTGGAGAGAAATGACACCACCTACTGGAGTGAAAGGAATGTAATTTTGAAGATAAGTGGCGGTCAAGAGTGCGTCAAACCACATGTAATGTGGAACATACATCTCAATGAGTAGTGTGAGTGATGTAAGTAAGTGGTGGTTGATAAGTCTTCATTATCATGAGTTAATAATTAGTAAATAATATAGTTTTAACCTTAACTCATGATAAATAGACTTATATTTGTGTTAAAGTGTGAAAAGTAGTTTTCAATTGATTAACGTGAATTTTTGGCTAATTATGTGATTTTATACAAATTTATATGATTTTTATAGTCTTGTTTGGGATAAATGAAGAAAAAAAAAAAGCAAAATGGAAGGGACCAGCCGACTAGTCGGGCCTGCAAGTAGGTCGGAAGCACAGCCAAGGAGAGCTGCAAGTAGGGGCTCGAGCAACTAGGACCGATGAGGGCATGTGTGCGCCACTCTCCTTCCACATCACTAGTGGCCAGCCGGTTGTGGGGAAAGGAGTGGTCGTACACGCAGGAGAAAGGGACTCATTACTTCCAAATGTGATATTACTATATATTCGCCTAAAACTTCGACGCACAAGTGATGTGGGACTAAACCTGCGTCACACCTTCTCTCGAAATCTTTCGAAGATTTGAATACCTAAATTACCCCTTCATTATAATAGAGATATACCATGATGACGTCACTTAATAAGGGCATTTGAATACTTATTTCAATCTCTCTCATGCAGGCGTGCAACCGGCGCAGGTTTGAATCCTCCTAGAGCCAAAACTCATATTTTTATTTGATTATCACAAGTTTCCTACAGATCGTCAGTGAAGGATTAAGTTGCCAAAATCACTAGATCATCAGCAAAAATCTTGTCAATGCGATTCATAGAGTATTGTTACTAAAATTGTTGAACGATTCGTGATAAAAAGATCGTGAATCCATCGTGTAAATTATCTCTGATTGATCGACGAATAAGCCGTCGTTAGGAAGAGGACGATTTGCCGGGAGATGAGTCGTCACCTCTTGAGAGCAGACTGGATGTGATGAAGAGCCTCCTCTTGCTGCACAGATCTAAGGATAAAGCTCCCTAACACGTGCCTCACCTCCATCTAGCTCCTCTTCGTCAAGTGACAACCGCTAGAGAGCCTCAAAGTCACCATTTTTCTGCTCTGCCGGGTGACAGCCACCGAAGACGACTCGATGACCCATTTCATTGATCTTTAGACTTCACAAGGAGATCTAGAGATTATCCATGTCGTCTTTGTCTAAGGAGAGCCTTTGACATTGTAGACACTGCACAACAATCCTCTCGAACACTCAAGATTCTAATGCATCACCGACGCATTACCGTCGCAACACTAAAACTCTATTTTCTTATTTTCAACTTAATTTTCACTTCATTTAATGATAATTTATGTGATTTAAATTTATCAAGCTATACTTCATTCAATTACAATTCATCTAGCTTTTACAGATCTTAATTTGATTAATTAAATCGTCTGTAATCACTTACGTAAGAATTGTTGGCTAGAACTCTATTTCTGCCCGATTCATGTTCGTTAGGCGCTAATGTCATCTTGATGTCCTCACCCTTATTTCCTTTTTTATGAATTTTAAATATATTTTATTTTCATTTCTTAGTATAAAATTCATAAAAACTTGTATTCTTTGAAAACAATTCTGAAAAACTATCTGATATTATATTATATCCCTATGATTGACCTGAAAAATTATCACTATTTTTGGAAGTTTTATTGAATTATAATTGATATATTTGTTCAGAAATACTTCTAAATATCCAAAAATTAGTATTTTTCAGTTTTATAAATTTTAAATTTGGGTGATTTACTATACAATGACTAAGTCACATCAGTAATGTTTACATTCAACAACTTTATTCTATTAGAAAATGTATAAATTGGTGGTTGATAAATAATACCACAATTAATATAAAAGGTGCAAATGACATCTTGAATAAATTCAAATATATTGTTTGTGTGAAGAACCTTAGGTGTGGTGAAATATTGGGTAATAATCTCAGTAATAAATTAGGTAACAATAGAGAGAACTTGAGATCAATCATGGAGGAGATAAACCCAACTTACAAGAGTGTAATCATCAACGAAAATAATGTAATAAAAATGTCTAGTGATGGAGACAACTCGAGAGGGTTCTCAAAAGGCGTAATGAATAAGATTGAATGGAGCTGAAAATAAAATATTGTCACGACTAAAATAAGAAGAACGATAATATTTGTCTAATTGACATGACTCACATACAAATTCATTAAGAGACAATCACAGCAAAGTTTTATTAAGTTTTGAAAAATAAGAATAACTTAAACGTTAGATGCCACAAAAGAGAAAAAGTAACAGTGAAAACAACAAAACGTGCTCGAATGTCGCAAGAAGGTGCATTCGAGACGAGTTTGTAAATACCTTAACCATTCTCACATCTCAAATCAATCCTTCATCTGATATGCAAATTCTAGAAGAGTAGTAGAAAGGAAAAAAATATAATGGTGCAAAGTAGGGCATGAGTGATGACATTGATATATAAAAGATTTATAAGAAAACTAGGAATGTAGAGGACTTGGGTTAATAGTAGGTAATAAGTCTTCATTATCATGAGTCAATAATTAGTTAATAATATAGTTTTAACCTTAACTTATGATAAATAGACTTATATTTATGTTAAATTGTGAAAAATAATTTGGTTAATATGAATTTTTGACTAATTATGTGATTTTATATAATTTATATAATCTTATTTTTAAGATTAATAAAGAAAAATAAAATAACATAAAAAGATAGAAAAAGTAGGAGACCCGCCGGCCAACCGGGCCCAAAACAGGTCAAAAGCATAGTTGAGTAAAGCTACGGGCAAGGGCCCAAGCGGCTAAGGATAGACTGATAGGGGCCATGTGTGCGTCACTTCCCTTCCATGTCACCAATAGCTAGTTGGGCATGGGGTAAGAAGTGGTCGTACACACACAAAAAATTGACTCATTGATTCCTAAATCTCGTATTACTATATATTTATATCAAAATTTAATGTATAATCGATGTGGGACTAAATTGGCAGTCATACCTTCTCTGAAATATTTTAATAATATTTTTACCTCAAATACCTCTTATTTATTAGAAAGAGTTACTGTGATGATGTCACTTTATAAGGGTATTCACATAATTATTTCACTTTCTCTCATGCAGGTAGGTGACTGATGAAGGTTTGAATCCTACCAAAGCCAAAACTTATATTTTTTATCTAATTAAATCACAATTTTTCTATAGATTGCCAGTGAAGGATTATGTCACTAAAATTACTCAATCATCGGCGAAAATCTCATCAATGCGATTTGTGGAGTATTGTTACAAAAATTATTGAACAACTCACAATAAAAGGATCGCAAATCCATCAAATAAATAATCTTTGATTGATCGACGAATAAGTCATTGTCGAAAAAAAGATGATCTATCAAGAGATGAGTCACCACGTCTTGAGAGCATACTAGATGCGATGAAGAGCCTCCTCTTATTATGCGGACCTGAGAATAAAGCTCCCTAAGAGGTGCCCCAGCTCTATCTAATTCATCTCCGCCGGGTGATAGACATCGGTGAGTTGTAAAGTCATCGTATTTTGCTCCATCAAGTGACAGTAGCTGGAGATGATTCAACGAGTCATTTAATTGATCTCTAAACTTCGTAAGAAAATCTAGAGATTGCTCATATCATCGTAGTCTAAAGAGAGCTTTGAGGCCATAGACACTAGACAACAATCCTCCATAATACTCAAGATTCTAATGTAGCACCGTCGTGATGACAAAATTCTGTTTTATCATTTTTTAACTAGTTCAACTTCTACCATCATTTTTTAGACTTTGAAAGGAGATCTAGGGAATGTCTAGGTTGTCCATGTCTAAAAAGAACCTTTGAAGTTATAGCCATTGTTCAATGATCCTCTCGAACACATAAAATTTCAGTAATTACTGTTTTGAGGTTGAAACTCTGTCTTTCTTGTTTTCAACTTAATTTTCACTTCATTAAGTGATAATTTGTGTGATAATTTGTGTGATAATTCTTTTGACTTTTATAGATCTTAATTTGATCAAGTAAATCATCTATAATCGCTTACATAAGAATTACCGAGTAGAACTCTATTTCTATCTAATTCACATTCATTGGACACTGACGTCAATCTGACGTTTGCACTCTTATTTTTCTTTTTCATAAATTTTAAATTATTTTATTTTTATTTCTTAGTCTAAAATTTATAAAAAACTATATTCGTGGTAGAAAATTCTAAAATATTATCTGATATTATATTACATCCTATGATTGACATGAAAAATTGTCATTATTTTTGGAACTTTTATTGAATTATAATTTTCAAAAATATTTGAGAATTAGTATTTTATAGTTTTATAAATTTTAAATTTATTTGACTTATTATACAACAACTAAGTCATGTTAATAGGATATAGGTCACAATGGTGATGCCATGACCTTTGACCAAATAATTTGTCCAACCATCAGTAATAGTTACCAAGGGGTAAGTCATGATGTGATGAAATGAGAAAAGTATGAAAGGTGTACTAATCATATGGGCATAAGCCCCCGAGTCAAGAATCTAAAGTGATAAAGAGCCAAGTAAGACATGTGTACCTAACATAGAGGCTTCCAACATAAATACAAGATTGACAAAGAAAGGTGTATAAGAGAAAGCAAACGTGAACCACTTTTAAACTTCATAGTCTGCTATCGTAAAAGTCATATGTAGGAGGAGATGTCGCAAAGTGAATTGTAGATGAGAATGAGTGTCAAAGATAATGGCTTGAGCCTACTCAGGCTTGCTGAACTCCTTCTAGTACTTGTTTGATGGGTGGCTTGACTTACCATAATAAGGGCATGGTAGAAAGGCATTGCGGTCTTTACCTTTGGGAGGGCGACCATTGTGAGACTTTGAGTTATGACCATCATCCCAACTACGAGTAGATGTAGTCAAAACCGATGAGGTCAACATGACAACTAGCTAAGTGGTGCTCAATTGAGTAGTAAGTGTGCCCGAGCTCACACGAAGTGCTGCAAAAAAAATTGATGAAAGGTTTGGCACATGATCACCCTAGAGAATTTGACCATAAATCTGTGAAACAACATTCAGATGTAGACCACTGAGATAGATATACACTAACATAGAACTCTTGTTGATACTGCTCAAAGATCCGAAGGTCGATGGTCGGAGGCTGATAAAGAGACAACTTTTGGATGATTGTCTGAAGTCGTCCAAAGTGTGCTTGGAATGAGAGAGCACCTTACTTATAAGTGAGAAGAGACTCGAATAATTACACAGTATGACTGATATTATCTTGTTGGCATACATGATGTATATTGTGAGCCAAAGTTGCTTGGCGAGCATAATATGAGCAAAGGGCTATGTGATAGATATTGTAACAGCAAAAGTCATGATGGCAAAGGGGCTATGATGGCAGGGGCCGTGATGGTAGGGTGATGTGTATTTATCTAATAATATTTATAATTAAGACTTAATACAATATTAGTATGGAAATAAGTCTCAGGTCAAACACAAAGAGATTGATTATTTGTCGTGAAAATTAATTTAGTTTATATATAAACTGATTTTAATATTTTATCACTATTTAACAGAAATAATAAAATAGAAGGACAAGGTGAAAAGAATAAAAGAAGGGAAGCAGAGAAAGGAAGGAGAAAAAGAGAGAGAGAAGAGAGAGCTCTCACAAAGGGCAAAAGAAGAGACCTCTCGTGAAAGAAAGAAAAAGAGAAGAGAAAATCTCACATAAAATTTAGAGAGAGAAAAGTCTCACGAGAGAGAGGAGAAGATCGATCAAGAGAGAGGGGGAGATCGATCGAGAGAGAGGAAAAGAAAGGGAGAGATCTCACGAATGACGGAGAGAGAAGAAGAGGTCTAGTGAGGGAGGGAGAGAGAGAAATAATAAAGAAAGAGAGAAATACGATCAACCCATTTTCACGGTAACTATTATTCTCGAACGAATGTGTGTGCAAGAATTCACACACATGACATGAGGTCAGTCGTGAATGTCTCTAATTTGTTTTAACTAATGAATACTCATTAATCAGCCTTTAATCTTAGAGATTTCACGTTCAAAATAAAAAAAAATCATTATTTGTGAAATGTTGAGAACATGAATACATCGAGATTCAAGTGTAAAAATTAATAGAAAATAAATTAAAAATGATCTTAGCTTGATCTCATATGAGTTTGAGAGGATTCAGAAGAAGAACAAAGATCATTCATCAAGTTTTGAATTAGTTCTACTCATTTCAATCGAAACATGCATGAAACGGAAGTAACTTACCAAAGTTAAGTCATTACCCAAGTTTAGTCTGCCTCTTAGACAATTAGATACACTGATGTAGTGGCTTGGTTTTGTCTAGACGTGTCACAGCACATCGAAAGTCGTAGAAGTATCGTTCAAAAGTGATGCGTCACTTGTCGGAGAGATCCACTAAAATGAGGGGTCGACCATGCTGTCACCATCATCTAAGGAGAGAAGGGAAGAGCTGACCACTCGTTAAAGACCTTGAGTGTAGTTGGGGGAGGAAGGAATGAGCTCACTGATCGTCAAAGGCGTTGATTGCACGAAAGGAGGGAAGAATGGATTGTCGTATTCATGATTGCCATCAAAATTTTAAAGATAATTGTAATGTCTATTTTATTAGATAATAATCTATTATTATCTTTATATCCCTAATAGTGATAAGTGCGAGAACTTAAGTTCCCAATATCGTGACACTTCACAAGCCACTAGATCAGATGTCCTTGGTCATATGGTGTGCTGATGACATAGGATCAACTCGCTATGAACCGCTATCGACTGAAAACTTACGTCCATGGTACCTCCTTAGCCATCATATCATAATCTATGACGATGTGAATGCTAAGCAATGTCAGATTCACAAACTACTGATGGATTGGTTTATGCATCTAGTATCATAGTAGCTCACCCACTACAAGATCTGACTTATTTGATGATATGACTCGTTGAACACCACTAGATGACACTGCACTCCAGATGGTTGTCTTGAAACACACAATAAACTTTAGTCTCATGATAAGTCTTCATTATCATGAGTTAATAATTAGTAAATAATATGGTTTTAGCCTTAACTCATGATAAATAGACTTTTTATTTGTGTTAAAGTGTGAAAAGTGGTTTTCAGTTGATTAAGGTGAATTTTTGGGTAATTATGTGATTTTATATGAATTTATATGATTTTTATAGTCTTACTTTTGAGATAAATGAAGAAAAATAAATAAAAATAAAAATAAAATAAAATGGGGGGGACCCACCGGCCAGTCGGGCTCGGAAGTGTGTTGGAAGCGCGGTCGGGGAGTAGCCACGAGCAGGGGCTCGAGTAGCTTGGACCGATGGGGCACATGTGCGCCACTCCCCTTCCATGTCACCGGTGGCTAGCCGACTGTGGGGCAAGGAGTGGTTGTACACGCGCAAGAAATGGACTTGATCGGAAATGTAATATTATTATATATTCACCAGAAACTTTGGCGCACAACTGGTGTGAGACTAAACCCGTGTCACACCTTCCTCAGAAAGGGGGGGGCAACCGGCCCGGGTTCGAATCCTCCTAGAGCCAAAACTCATATTTTTTATCTGATTATTGCGACTTTCCTGCAGATTGCCAGTGAAGGATTAAGCAACCAGAATCGCTAAATCATCAATGAAAATCTCGTCAACGTAATTCGTGGAGCATTATTACTAAAATTGATGAACGATTCGCGATAAAAAGATCATGAATCTATCGAGTAAAGCATCTCCGATTGATCGACGAACAAGCCGTCATCAGGAAGAGGATGATCCGTCGGGAGACGAGTCGCCACCTCCTGAGAGCGTACCGGATATGATGAAGAGCCTCCTCTTACTGTGCGGACCTGAGGATGAAGCTCCCTGACATGCGCTCCACCTCCATCCAGCTCCTCTCCGTCGAATGACAGCCGCTAGAGAGCCGCAAAGTCGTTGTTTTTCCACTCCGTCAGGTGATAGCCGCCGGAGATGATTCAACGACCCATTTCATTGATCTCTAGAGTTCGCAAGGAGATCTAGAGATTGCCTACATCGTCCTTGTCTAAGGAGAGCCTTCGAAGCCATGGACATTGCATGACGATCCTCTTGAACGCTCAGGATTCCGGTGCATCGCTGACGCATCGCCGCCGCGACGCCAGAACTCTGTTTTCCTACTTTCAACTTAATTTTTGCTTCATTTAGTGATAATTTTTGTGATTTAAATTTATCAAGATATACTTCATTCCATTACGATTCTTTCAGCTTTTACAGATCTTAATTTGATCAATTAAATCGTCTGTAATCTCTTATGTAAGAATTGCTAGACAAAACTCTGTTTTCGCCCGATTCGCGTTAGCCGAGCACTGACATCATCTTGACGTCGGCACCCTTATTTTCTTTCTACGTGAATTTTAAATATATTTCCTTTTCATTTCCTATTATAAAATTTATAGAAAAGAGTATTCTTTGCAGAAAATTCTGAATAATTATCAGATATTATATTACATCCTTGTAATCGACCTAGAAAATATGCTATTTTTGGAAATTTTATTGAATTATAATTGATATATTTATTCAGAAATACTTTTAAATATCTGAAAATTTGTATTTTCTAATTTTATAAATTTTAAATTTACGTGATTTACTATACAACGACTAAGTCACGTCATCTCACATCGGAAATATTTTAGTAACTGAGCTGAATATAAATCAAAGTTATATTTTTCAGTAGAGATCCCTTCTCCCAAAAAAAAATAATGTTTAGGACCATCTTGGGAGAAGGTAAAAAGGTGGTCTACCCTCACGCACACACGAGTATATGATGCTCCTTGCTTCAAAACTAGTTGGCCATTGGGATATGACAGGGGAGTGATGCATACGTGCGTGAAACGAGTCCCTCGTCACTCAAGTCCAGCTCATGGCTCCCTCGGTCTAGGTCTACCCATTCGACTGTAGCATCACTCTAGGTCAATTGCCGAGTGCCAGCTTGCCAACGGGCGATGATATTTTTATATTTTATTTTTTTCTCAATAATCAAAAATTACACTACGTATTTTAACTTCACACTTCTAAAATTAATAATATATTCTTATATTTATTCTAAAGTTAACAAAATAAAATAAAATAATATAACTAATTAAAACACAAAAATATAGCTTTAACACAAGGGCAGCGACAACAAACGGGCCATGATGGCAAGGAGGTTGCAACAGCAAGGGGCTGTGACGATAAGGGGGGTGTGACTGGAGGTGCCACGACGATAGGGGGGCATGGCAGTAAGGCAGGTGCCGGCATGCTGGTTGCACGTAGTGCAGCAGCAGATCTCGGCGGCACATAATAAATGGTGGGATGTAGTAGAGGATGGCATATAGAGAGAGATAGGAGAGCACACAGAGGATGCGGCGGCAGTGGCATAGTAGCGACAGTGGCAGTTGGAAAAAACCCTAGGGCTCTAATACAATGTTGACAACAAGAGTTAAACCCTAAGATTATATCAATTCCAAATGAAGAGATACATGATTTTATATAGGTGAGGGAAGAGAGAGAGATAATGGGCCCAAGTGGACCACATAGAGGAGGACGTCCGAACAAGTGACATAGTAAATAATGACGAATAAGGCTTAAAAAAATATAAGTGCTTGATGTTCATACCTGAGAAGATTCAAGCTCATTGAGTTCAAAAACTTTGTTTCTCATGTATGGGTCCAACTATTGTTGTCAATGTAGTTATAAATCATAACTATGGGTGAAGATTCATAAATATCCCTAAGCTAGAGAGCTTTCTCACGAAGACCCAATAGAAGACTTATTAAATATGCAATTATTGATGAACCTTTTACAATAGGGAATATCTCTCGTAGCAACATAAAATTATGCAATGACATCCAAGGTAGATCACTCACAATCTTGGTGGACATGGGAGAAACTTTTAAGTTCATTTCAAAACTTGTTGCCAAAAAATTGGCACTTTTAGTGACAATTACATCTCAATATTAGGTGATAGTTGATAAAGACGAGAAGGTGGAAAGCTAGAACATCTGTAACATAATTCTCTTAAAGTTACAAAATCTCACAATAATCATGGATTTTTTATTATTTCCATTGGCCAATATTGATGCTTTACTTAGAATGAAATGGATATACATTAGGAAGAAAATTGAATTTGATGTGGAATGTAAGACTATCAATTAGGATAGGCAAATAACATATAGTTCTTTAGGTAGAAACTTAGATGGATATATCAGATATTGTTGTCGAAAATAATACTTTTGAACCCAATGTAAGGCTAGTTAATATCTACCCTTTTAAGTATCCTCACGCCCTAAAAAATGAACTTGAAAAACTCATATGAGAGATGTATGCTATGAGCTTCATTTGAGATTCAAATAGTTCCCACCCAAGCCCAACTATACTAATAAGGAAAACAGATGAATCATAAGGCTTTTTTTATGAACTATTTGTATTGAATCAAGTCAAAAATCTAGATGTTTCTCATTCTTGTCACTGAAAAACTTCTTGATGAATTACATAGAGCTACTGACGTGACTTAGTCCTTGTATATTAAATCACATAAATTTAAAATTTATAAAACTAGAAAATACTAATTTTCAAATATTTAGAAGTATTTCTAAATAAATATATCAATTATAATTCAATCAAATTTTTCAAAAATAATGATAATTTTTTAGGTCAATCATAGGGATATAATATAATACTAAGTAATTGTTTAGAATTTTTCTCAAAGAATATGATTTTTTATGAATTTTATACTTAAATATGAAAATAAAATATATTTAAAATTCACGAAAAGGAAAATAAGGGTGCAAACGTCAGGATGATATCAATGCCCAACGAATGTCAATTAGGTGGAAACAGAGTTTCACTTGGCAAGTTTTACGTAAGTGATTATAGACGATTTAATTGATCAAATTAAGATCTATAAAATCTAGAAGAATCATAATTGAATGAAGTATAATTTGGTAAATTTAAATCACACAAATTATCACTAAATGAAACAGAAATTAAGTTGAAAGTAAGAAAATAGAGTTCCAACATTACAGTAGTAGTGTCCACGGCTTCGAAGGCTCTCTTTGGATAAGGACGACGTGGAAAATCTCTAGATCTCCTTGCGAAGTCTAGAAATCAATAAAATGGGTCGTTGAATTGTCTCTAGTGGCTATTACCCGACAGAATGGAAAAAAGGTAATTTTGTAGCTCTCCGGTGGCTGTCACCCAATGGAGAGGAGTTGGATGGAGGTGGGGCGCATGTCAGGGAGCTTCATCCTCAGGTCTGTGTAGCAAGAGGAGGCTCTTCATTGTATCTGCTACGCTCTCAAGAAGTGGCGACTCGTCTCCCTACGGATCGTCCTCTTCTTGATGACGGCTTGTTCATCAATCAATCGAAGATGATTTACTCAATAGATTTGCAATCTTTTTATCGTGAATTGTTCAGCAATTTTAGTAACCATGCTCTACGAATCGCGTTGATGAGATTTTCGCCAATGATCCAGCGATTTTGACAGCTTAAACCTTCACCGGCAATTTGCAGGAAAGCCGTGATAATCAAATAAAAATATAAGTTTTGGTTCTAAGAAGATTCGAACTCACGCCGATTATTCGCTTGCATAAGAGAGATTGAAATAAGTACTGTAATGCCCTTATCAAGTGACGTCATCATGGTATATCTCTCTTACAAGTAAAGGGTAGTTTAGGTATTAAAATCTTCAAAGCCTTTCGAGGAAAGGTGTGATGGGGGTTTAGTCTCACATCACTTATGCACTGAAGTTTTGGGCGAATATATAGTAATATCACATATCTAAGTAATAAGTCTCTTTCTCCCGCGTGTACGACCACTCTTTGCCCCATAGTTGATTGGCCACTGATTATGTGAAAGAGAAGTGGCGCACACATGCCTCCATCGGTCCTAGTTGTTCGAGCCCCTGCTCGCGGCTCCCCCTGACTATGCTTCCGACCCACTTGCAGGCTCGGCTGGCCGGTGGGTCTCCTCCTTTTGTTATATTTTTATTTTAATTTCTTTTTATTTATTTATCTCAAGAATAGGACTATAAAAATCATATAAATTCTTAGAAAATCACATAATTAGCCAAAATTCCCGTTAATCAACTGAAAACTAATTTTCACAATTTCAAAAAAAAAAGTTTATTTATCATGATTTAAGGTTAAAACTATATTATTTACTCATTATTAACTCATGATAATGAAGACTTATCAGCTACCATATTTTCCAAGGTAAATCTAAAGTTTGATTGTCATCAAATTTAGATCAAAGATAAAGATATATAGAAAATAAAGTTTTGAATGCATAAAAAACACTAGAGTTCATAGTTATGTCATTCAGGCTCTTAGATGCCATAGTTACATTTTAGATACTAATGAGCTGAATATTCAAATAATTTATTTGGAAATTTCTATTGATCTTCTTTGACAATATTATGATCTTCAGCTTGAATGAGGATCACATGCGCAACATTTTCAACAAATTTTTTTTCTCTACTCCATAATCACAATTACCTATCAATTCAAAGAAATGTACTTTTAGGCAAGCTATAATCGAATATTTAGGGTATTGAGTCTCCTTTAATGGAGTGGTGACAAATCAAGAAAATATGGAAGCTATATTAAGTTGGCCATTTCCTATCCATCTAAAAGAGTTACACAACGTAAGCAATGAGGATAGCCCTAGTTCTAGTTTTACCAAAATTTCTGAAAATTTTGAAGCTCAAAATAGATGTATCTAGTATTGAGGTAAGACATGTTATTATGCAACACTATTAGCTGATTGCTTTCTTCAATTAAGGTTTCTCACTTTCAAAAAAATTGAAGTCTATTTATGAACAAGAATTGGTGGTCTTCATTCTAGTAATATAAAAAACATTACTTGTTGGGAAGATGGTTTGTAATTTATATTGATCAACGGAGCTTAAAATTTATATTAGAACAAGTAGCCAACACATTATCCTAAAACCTAGCCAACCTAAGGGCCTTATCAAAGAGCTACACCTGGAGATTTGCCTAGGACTCCTCTACCTAAATCATATTGTAAGATAAAATCAAGTTGATCTAATAATATAGCGAGTTTAGATATCAGAAAATCCAAAGAAATTTTCTAACTATGCATTGCAACATGTGCACCTGCTCCATTGTGGGTAATTAATACTCTTTAAAAACTCCACATTTATACCCTTAAATGTTACATGAATTTCTTGACTCGCTCATAGGAGGGCATCCATGATTTCTTTGAACCAACAAAAGATAAGAAAGGTGTATTGAGTGGGAATGAAGAAGAGGATCTGCAACTATATCCAACCATGTCAAATTTCCTAGAAGAATAAAATAGAAGTCTTACCCTAATTGAACTCTTCCAACCACTCACAATTTCAAAGAAGATTTGATATGATATAACAATAAATTTCTTGAAGACTTGTCAAAATTTGACAAATTCAATGCTCTCCTCATAATGGTTGATCATTTGAGCAAGTATGCCCACCTCTCCTCACTTAAACACCCTTCTATAGCCACAGATATTACAAAGGTTTTCCTTCAAAATATCCTTTGCCTACATGGATTTTGTCTCCATTATGATCAATTTTGATTGAATTTTCATGGGTTAATTTTGGAAGGAAATATTTAAGTTGCAGGAATTTTTTTGTGCTGCAATAGTACCTACCATCTATGAACAGATGGGAAGATGGTGATCATGAATTGAAAACTCGAGCTACATCCATTGCTTCACAAGCTATTGTCCTGAATAGTGGTGTAGGAAGATTAGTTGGGATGAATACTTTTAAAACCTAGACTACTATATGTTGGCAAAGAGATTTCATTCCAAGACTCTACAATAGAGAACCTCCAATTTTAATCCAATATTAATAGGGAAGACCAATGCCAATGCCTTTGAGAAACTCTTGTAGGAGTGGGATAATAAGGAGACCGATCAAGGGGAATGCTTGGTCTAGGCCCATAGTTGCATGAAATCGTAGGCAAATTGAAAATATTGAGATATATAACTCAGGATGGGCGAGTCATGTTTTCTTTGCCTACAACCTTACAATCAACACTCTCACCAATTCAATGAGAAACCTGTACCCTTGATATTTCAAACCCTTCAAGATCTTGGAGGGGGTTGGCCTAGTAGCATGCCAAGTAGAGTTACCGCTGACTTCCAACATCCATTCAATTGTTCATATCTCATAACTAAGGACTATTGAGCAGCCGGAACCTACACAGTCTCTTCCCCTTTAGTTGGATGAGAACCTCACATGGAAGGTGACCCCGAAGGGATATCTTAGCAACACAATGAAAACCACATGGACTCAACATTCTAGTTTAATGGGAAGCCCTCCTCAGACTTAGAAAAATTCTCATAACTCCAAGCTACAATTCTTAAGATTCTCCTTGAGGACAAGGTGAAGCTTGTGGGGGGGAGTGTTGATGCCCCTAGCATCTGCCATACACCCTCAAAAGACTTAGATGGGAAGAGGTAGGGAATGAACAGTTGTGTTGACTAAAGAACATGGATTGTTCTAATGGTAGCTGGCAACAAGACATTGTATGCGGCAATGGTCAATGGTTAGCTATAGCTGCACCCTCTTTATGGAGATGGGGTGTTTCCGTCCCTATGTGGAATGATGTCCGGAACCACCTCTCTTATAATAACAACCAGGAGCCTAAGGAATGAGGGCGAGAGTCTTGTGCATTCTCATCAAAGAGTTTTGGAGATAGCCATGTTGAAGTGGCCAATGTTTCCCCCTTGTCTTTTTTTTTTTCCTTTAACTCTTTTTCATTTTGTTCTTTTCTCTTGTGAAAACTGTCACTAGTTGTGTTATCCACCATCTTCAATTATAACACTATTCTTCTACCATAGCACATTGTTATAAAATCGGGGCTCTATCACTTTATCTCTAAACTATATAACAACATGGCAATTATGCCACTATAAGGTCATCTTACTTTGACGATGGTTGTCGCCACATTGCTTGTGGTTGGAGTCACCCTCGCTTCCTAACCTCCTAACCACAGTGAAAACTCAAATCCTTCACACATGTGTTGTTTCCATCTTTCTCTTATGTTATCTTCTGTTTGGGAGTGCTATTGTAGTGAGAAAAAAATATTTGAGAGTCCAATGAGCTCTAGGGGTTCCTCTCCCTCTCTCTCTCTCTCTCTCTCTCTCTCTCTCTCTCTCTCTCTCTCTCTCTCTCTCTCTCTCTCTCTCTCTCTCTCTCTCTCTCTCTCACACACACACACACACACACACACACACACACACACTCTCCCACAAGTGTTCTTGAAGGATTTTCATGAAGAAATTTATAGATCTTTAAAACGTTTAGTATAATCTTTTTAAAAAAATGATATAAATTCATGAAAAAAAATTATAGTCCCTTATGATCTGCTAATGGAATCGAGTTGCTGAGTTACTCTCACTGATCCACCAATATTCTGAAATCATTGGTCTATGAATGTTTGCTTGAGCTGGCATGCACGGAACGGATCTTCCAAGTTCTTGAAAGCTCACACCTTGCTTTACCACATTTGTATAATATTAAATATATTTGCTTTGATTTTCATGGGATTCGACATCTCTTATAAATGAGCTCGCGTAGCCCAGCAAGATTGTATCCAATGCCAGAGCAGAGAGAGAGAGAGAGTTGTCGGAAACTCAAAAGATGATGATATAACTTTGATTCGCTTAATCTCTTGTAATTGACTTCAAAAGAAATAATGCATACGCGGGCAAGATTTTCCCGGCCATTTAAACCCCCGCTGTAACCTGAGTTTTTCATCATTATCATTTTCCCGGTCAGAAATTCCTCCGGCTGCACCTGTGAGAACACCAGCCATCTCTCATAGAAATTTAGGTCGAGGAGAAGGATCCGCAAACTCTCCCTCTCTCTGTGTGTCTCCCTCTCTGTTCTCTCTCTCTCTCTCTCTCTCTCTCTCTCTCTCTCTCTCTTTCTCTCTCTCGCTCGCTCGCTAGGGTTATATATTGGGTATAAATCTTGGGATAGTCGAAACCGACCGGTGGCACTCACAAGGTAAGTCCCATTTATCTTCCTCTTCCTCTCCCTCTCAAATCTCTCCATCTATGTATCAATCTATCTTACTTTCTATCTATCTTTGCACTATCGTAACAGATTAGCTGCACCGGAAAAGATGCCTTCACCGGACGTCGAGGCCCCTCCCGACAGCGCTCTTGGCACGGCTGTTACCAGCGGGATAATGCTAGTGATCATGTTAATTCTCTTCCTCTGCCTCGCCTTGTGTCTCCGCCGCCGGCCCTCCACCGAAGACGAAGCCGCCGCCGGCGAAGGCCCTCCTCACGGCTCAGGAATCTGTCCACACGGCGAGGAGTCGACGTCGTCGCAGACAGCGAGTCTCTCGCAGGTTCCTCCTCTCTTGTTAACATGAGAGAGAGAGAGAGAGAGAGATGAAAACAGTACTACCTTCTTGAAGCGGTCCTCCTGCTGTATGTGTAGTAGGATAATTTCTCTTGAGAGAGAGAGAGGCTACCTGCTAGAAATCGTCTTCTGTTCTCGTAGTGAGATAATGTCTATACAGCGAGAGAGAGAAAGAGAGAGGCGGACTGCCTTCTTGAAGCAGTCATCATCCAGCTCTTGTAGTGTGAAAGGTTTTTTACGGAACGAGAGAGAGGGAACTAGTACGGCCGTCTTGTAGTCAGCTTCGTTTCCTTGTTGTGAGAAAAGTTTTCTGGAGAGAGAAGGAGAGAGAGGCGGACGGCGAGACAGAGGGAAGTAGTGCAGCATTCTTGTAGCCGTCATCTTCGTTTCCTTGCAGCGAGAGAGAAGTTTTCTGGAGAGAGAGAGAGAGAGAGAGAGAGGCGGACTGCCTTCTTGATGCAGTGATCCTCCTGTTCGTTTAGTGAGAGAAGTTCTAAGGTAGAGAGAGAGAGAGAGAGAGAGAGAGAGAGAGGAGGATGGAGGCTGAGCTGGAGAGGAGAGAGGGAGAGGGAGGGTTCTTCATTAAAGCGAAGATGGGTGGGAAGTCCTCCATCTGTGAGACCGTAACTTTCCTTCTTCAATCATCTTCTGTGGTTTCTCCTAAGCTCTCTCCTTCATTCTCTCTCTTGTTTGCTGTTTTCTTCTTTCTTTCATAGTCATCTTCTTGCGCTCATCATCCATCTGATCATAAGAGGGGCAGGATGTTTCTCTCTCTAAATCTAGGAATGGAGACAATTAGAGAGAGAGAGAGGGAGGGAGAGAAAGTCGTCCCCAGAGTCTGGAAGTCCTGATCTAATTATCGTCGTCAGCTTCTCCGGTCAATGGGTTCTCACACTTCTGCAGATTCCTTGCTCCTTAGAGAGAGAGAGAGGAGTTTTAAGTAGTGCGGTGAGAGTAAGAATCATAGAGGGAGAATGAAGATGAGAGAGGCATAGACGAATTCAATCTTTGACGTGGCCAACCACCTCAAAAAGATAGTAATTAAATATTATTAAGGCAAAGGAAATTTTCAAAATAATTAATTTAACATTTCACATAATAACAAAAATGAAATACCTGTTCACCTTTGGATTTAATGCGTAAACTAGGGTACCGGCTCAGGTTGTACTTCTCTCCTTCAAAGTGAAGTCCAAAGGAAGAGCATGCCCGATCTGCTACGGTGTGCACCCTGGGCAAACTCTCTCTCTCTCTCTCGCTCTCTCTCTCTCGCTCTCTCTCTCTCTCTACTTCTATCCCTTTCCCCTGACGGCGATTTTCCACCATCTTCTTGCCTGTCCAGTTTTCTCGGAGTCCCGCCATGCAACCGCTGCAGCAAGACGTCGTTCTATGGCGCCGCATCGTGGTGCTTGCCGCCATGGAGTTGGCGGCCATGGTGGGGCTCATGATCGTTGCCTCTCTTCACGTCCTCCCCGGCAGCCTTCACCGCGGCCTCGTGTTCAGCCTCATCGGCCTCCTTGTGGCCTTGACCGCCGTCCACATCATCGTCTTCTTGCTGTGGCTCTGCCCCTACGGGGCCACCAGGGTCTCCCCCGCCGCTCAAGATTGACGCCGTGATCGCGGCGGCGGCGCCGCCGCCTACGGCGGAGGCTCCACCGGCAGAGGACGACGAAACACACTCCACGAGGGCCATGCCTCGTTCTTCCTCTCGTTCGGTCCTCTTCTCCTCTCGTCTTTGGGTCGTGAGAGATTCTTGTGAGAGAATGAATAGCCTGGAGAGCGGAAAACATCTTCCGGCATTATGTTCTTTCCTGGCATTATTCCGTTAGGTTTATGAAAGAACGCTGCCTCTCTCTCTCTCTCTCTCTCTATCTCCCCCTCAGGTTGACAACGATAGATAGCGAGGGAGCGAGGGAGCGAGGGAGCGAGAGAGAGTGAGAGAGAGAGAGAGAGAGAGAGAGAGAGAGAGGAGGGGGGTGACCTTCAGAAGAAAGCCAAGAAAACATGGAATGCTAGCGTCTCCTCTCTTTAAGCTCTTTCTCTCACTAGAATGAGACACATCCAGAGGAAAGTGGAGAAGAGAACAGATCGCCAAAAGGACCAACCTTATAGGTTGCGGAGGGACCTTCCGCTACGTTGTTGACCTCGAGCGGCGGCGCCGCCGCAAGAATTTGGAAGATCTGCGTAGCATTAACCTCTTCCTCATCATCTCGCGGTATCTCCGCCGAAGATGGCGGCGAGCCCGCCACCGCGTCGTCGACCTGGAGCGGCGGCGCCGCCATGGCCGGCGGAGCGCGGTGGTCAGAACCAGAGCAAGATGAGGGTCGCGTGGACGAGACCGGAGAGAAGCAGAACGCTGGTCAGGGCGAAGACGAGACAACGGTGCAAGATCAGGGGGCGGAAAGGAACGGAGCCCACGAAGGTAAGCCCCACCATGGCCACCAGCTCCACGGAAGCCAGGGTGAGCAGGCGGCGCCACTGCGCGCCGTCGTCGGGCAGCGGCGGCATCGCCTGCTCCGCCGCCAGAAGACGACGCGGAAGCGAGAGAGAGAGAGAGATGATGGTGGCGAAATCAGAGAAGAGGAGTCTCTCTCTCTCTCTCTCTAGATATATATATATATATAGAAATGCATAAATATCCAGTAAACAAGGAAACCCAAGAGGGGCAAGTAAAATCTGGGAAACATCAAACTCAGGCTAAGAAACACCGGCAAAGAACAGTACGAAAAACTCCAATCTTGCTATTATTAGCAGCATCTGATACCCAGAAAAATATTTATACATAACCGCAAATGCAAGAACAGCGTTTCCGATCCAAACACTAATCTGAATGTCCGGCATCCGAGAGAGGAAACATGATCTCATGGGTCCGCCAGAGGGGGAAGCTCCTCCTCAGGACTTCATCCAAAGCTCTAACATACTCTTCCCACGCCACCATGGCGTTTCGGAGGCCTGCCAGGTCAAACCCATTTGACCAGACGTCATCTCCGGTGGCTGAGCCGAGGACTGGGTCTGCGGCCTGGGGATCGCCCGGGCCCACAACTGGGGAACGGCTGCTTGTTCTCTCTACCGGGGAGGGGCAGAGGGCCCTGCCGGGTGCAGGGTCTTCTCGGCCTTGTTCTTTCACACCGGATGTCTTCCAGCTGTAGAATTGCACAATCTGTTCATAAGATAGAAGCCAACAACCCAATTAAATAAGATCAAACGCCACTACAGGGCGAGACAGTCTCCTTGTTAAAGATAACACAGCGGGGGAAGCTCCTCTTAGGTGCCACTCATTCCTCGCTCTCTCTGTCCCCACTCTCTCCCTCTCTCGCTCTACATATATATACACCTGAATATCTACCCATTTCTGCACATATCAAACAACCTATATATATATATATATATATATATATTACTATCGTCCTACCTATCCCTCTCTGCATCTATATACCTATCTTCTCTCTCAACCAATCAAGATATTTATCTATGCCTATCATCCTCTCTGTTTCTCCATCCACCTATCTTTTCTAGCTATCCATCTATATGCAAATCTATCTTCCCTCTCTATTCTATCTCGATGGCCGGAAGTGTCAGTCAGCCATAGAGTTTTCTATGCCTTTGTCTTCCAGTTGTAGAATTCTAAAATATTCTAAGAATAGAACCCAAGAGGACAGTCCAATAAGATCCAAATCGAGTGGGTTGGATCTGCGAATTCAGCAGCAAAATATCAACCAAACCAGGTTGATTTTGGGGATTTTTTTCTTTTGGGGGTTGGGAGGGGAAGGGGAGACTGGGGGGAGTGATCTGAATCCTAAACTTCCCAGCCAAAGTTGGATCGAGCAGGGGGAGTGCCAAATTTTTCCCAAAATATAAATCATGATGCCCAGAAAGAATCCAAGCAATTAGATCAATCAATTACCATAGGAAAAAAAAGGGTAGATTCAGATCACAAAGAGTTATGAAACATAGCATCCATCGTCTATAAATCTTGCAGGTTTAGAGATAATACCTGGAGAGCATGCAAGATGTTGCGAAACTCAGCATCGAATATCTCTTTTCCTTTTCCAAGTTGCAGAGGTCCCATTAGTTGCTCGAGAGGATCATCTGACAAAACTGTTGATGCCAGGGGGTAAATATTACATCCTAAAATGTGTAATCTTCCCCACCGAATGTCGAACCCTGATCCCTGGTGAGGAAACCAGTACATGCTATTGGGTGCCGGGATTGGCAGGGTTGGACGAGGGCTAGTTTCCCCATTTTCTGGTGATCTTTCAGAGAGAAGAGAGATAAGCTTGGCGTCCTCATCATGGGTTTTATCACGGGTGAACCATAGAGTTAAAGTAAGCCTTTCTCCATCAATAACCTGACACGAGGCAAGATAATGTTATTGCGTAGTGATATGCCTCTTCTACTTTAGCAGCATTAACAATTAAAGAAACATCAGGAGAAAGGATAATCTCACAGGTAAGTTCCACTTCGGCAATAGAAAAATCGATTGAGTGCAGAAACAATAGCAGAAAATGACAACGCAAGCAGAGTTCCTTGGTCCCCAAAATATAATTTACAATAAGAGAAAACTACACGATGATCCATCGAAGGGGGAAAGGGGGGCCGTACCTCATCTACAGAGTGAATATTTTGACTATCGGCTGTATAGATCACTGCATCCTGAGACGGTACTATGTCAGAAGCCATTTGAGATTAATATCACATTTACGTCACTAATAATAATAATGAAACCAAACCCCATAGGTGGATAGAGACATTGATCGTATCTAGCATAAGATCAGTCAACTAGGACAAGGAAGAAACTGAAGGAAGATTAAACCCACAGGTAGAAGATCTTACGCCAGCATGAGGAATTATGGAGTCTGGCGACCCATCCTTGAAATGGAAAATGCCGCCTGTAAAATCCTTCCCACAGCTATTCAGGTAGCAGACTGCCTTTCAATCCCATGAAAAAAGTAGAAATGAACCTCAGGGTTGCGAAATGCTCAAAAAGAACATACCAGAAACGATTAATCACCCAGTAGAGGAAGAAGAGGAAATGAAATTAGATTTACAGTTTCCTAACCATTTCAAACGTTTTGCGTTTCACTATTAAATAGGAGATATAAGTTTTGAAGATGACTTGATATATAATCATTAGTTATAAAGGTTTTCTACCCGTCTATAGATACTATTAAAAAAAATCCACAAGAAAAATTGTTTGACAATAAAAATAGTAAGAAAACACACCGCAAAATCTCGTTGCTTTAGATAAGGCCTGTTGTCATCACTGTGCCATCCAATGCTTGCTCCCTTACACCAACTATATCGAAAATGTCATTTATTCGCGATAATGGCATCATCAAAGGAATCCAATGCATCTAGAGAACTAGGGCTCATCTTGCAGAAGCAATTATTATTGGTCAGAGATGGCTAAACATGGCCTGTAGTCCTCTAAGTGTGGTTCCTGACAAGCTATTTCAAACACAGGCATTTGATAAACATGAGTGGTCTTGGATGAAATGCAACCCTATGAGCTCTCTCTGTCATTCACAGCCATGTAGACGAATGGCATGAAATTTCAAGTGGCAGCAACTGAGGAGGGTGTATTCGAGGTAAAATCGTTGATTGGAAAATATTTCATAAGATGAAATGATAAAAAAAAAAGCTACCTTAAAAGAATCTGGTGATGATAAAAACCTAATTTCTCACCTGACAAGGCCAGTGAATTCCACGAAGAGCTCGAACTCGCACCCGAAGCGCTCCTCCACCTTCTCTCTCAGCCGCTCTGCGCGCACCAATCCAGGAACGTCCAAGGCAATCCTAAATCAGCGGGAGATACCGAAATGGAGGGACGGAAGAGCAGGTAGGAGCGTCCCCATCGGCGAGGAACAAACCTCTAACGGGGACGAAGGGGACGACGAGGTGAGCGCAGCCGGTGGCGATAAGGTGCGACAGGGTGGTGGAGAGGACTCCAGGCCTGTACCCCACCGCGCAGCAGCTCCGGTGTATGAACTCCAGCTCCTACACAGAACACTAGATGATCCATGGCCCCGAAATGGGACTGGACATGACCAGGATGAGCAGGATCAGCAAGAGCCGCACCTTGCAGAGGCTCTGCGGAAGGAAACCAGGCAACAGGAGGCGGGGATGCGCCTCCCCTTCCCCTTCCGGCGGCATCCCGTGAGCCGACTCCGGCGAGCTCCGTGCCCAACCACAGCCGGGAAGCTCTGAGAGGAGACTTTCAGTCTCTCGCTCACGCCAGCAAAAACCCTGTCGCACTGATGTGGCGTTTTCCCCCTTTTTTCCTACACGTGGCAAAACGGGTCGAAGGCCACGCCGGATCGGTACATATTTTCTTTTATATGATTATTATTTTTAATTCCAAATCTGGAAAAATGGGCCAAATTGGGCCGAATTTACCTTCTACACCTTGAGCCAAGCCAGTAGCCCAAACAAACCTCAGTAGCCCAGATAATCACTTTTTTTTTAAAAAACACCCCAAAAGAACGCCAATTTTGGCCTCCCATCACTAATGATTTTGCCCTAGTGATATTGACCTTATGCAGTGACATCTTTTTGAGGAAGTAGTTGACTTGACCTTACATTTACATCGCGTCCAAAGGTCAAATCCACTATTAAGAAGAGTTTGAAGACATAAATAAAGTTGACCTGATTTAGGAGGCTTTTTATAAAAATAAAATTCTATCTCACTTGACCATAAAATGCGAAGAACCAATATTTTATTTATATTCAATTAAAATACATACAAAAATCGGATTTAATGAACACTAATCGGGTCCATGATATGAATTAATCGGGTACCCATAGTGGGTATGAAACTAATTATCAAAAAGGAGGAGGTTATCCAGTTATAACTCTCTCTCGAAACCGTTCAAATTTGGAATAAATAGTCCCTTTGTTAGATAAATTAATCGTGGTCAAATTTGGTCAAATGAGTGAGATCATAACCGTGGAAATCCCAACCAATAAGTGGGCCCAAGTAGTCATAAAAATAATAAAATAAATAACGTGAGGTAAAAAGATGAGTAATACTGTATTTCCTAAATATAAAATAAATTGTGCTAAAGTCCCTCACAGCACGTGTCCTTTCCCTCATACCCCCCAATCTCTCTCTCTCTCTCTCTCTCTCTCTTCATTAAATATAAAATATACGAGGGCATGAACTAGGCAGAGGAAGACGTGACCAGATCGTATTCAAGACATTTAGTATGGTTTGCCTTCTTTTTAATAAATAAATGCGTAATTGATCCTCAAAAGGAGGGAATAGTACAGAAATCTCCCCAAGCTTAGAAACATAGTCAATTTAATACATATTTTTTTATAATTGCTTTCCTTTCTCCTTCCTCACCAACTGTTGACACTGCAACAGGTCAACCCATGGTCCACATTCCACCACGTGCTCTTTGACTCACGCCGGTTGAAATGCCAACGCAAGGAGCTCGTCTCTGCAACAGGAGATTCAGGTCGAGCGCGCGCGCCTCTCTCTCTCTCTCTCTCTCTGTACAGAAGGCTTATCGGGATGGCAACCTCTCCCGTTTTCCGCTTCCAAATGGTGGCGCCGGGGACGGGGCGTCGGGGATGCTGGATGTCGCAGGAGAACCTGCTGAGGCCTTGCATTAATCCCCGCAGCGTCCCAGCCACCGGAGGTAAGATTCTGGGGCTCCTTCTCTTCGAAATTTTGCTCCTGTTTCTCGCCGTTTAGTGTGTCAACGCAACATCCGTTTTTCCGCCTGATTGTCGTTTTTCTAACTTTCTTAGGGCATGTTAATGGAGGTCTGGCTTGCGCGAGGCGGAGTACTATCGGCCCGAGAGCAATGCGGGCCTTGCTCACGGGGACGGAGGGAGAGACGGGGGTTTTGACCGGCGGGAGAAATCCGATCATCGTGATTGATAACTATGATAGCTTCACGTATAATCTCTGCCAGGTATGCGCTCCCCCCCCTTCCCCAGTTCTTAATGGTTTGGTTTATACATCTATCAACATGGAAGAAACGGGCGGTGATCCGGACGGAATCTTTGCTAATTGACGAATCGTTTTTTTTCCTCTGCTGCTCTGATTTTACTCTGAATTACTTTTTTCCGAACAGAAAACGATTATTTAATTAATTTGAGCTTTTATCTACAAGATTTTACGCTGAATTAATCAGAACACAAGGCCTAAAATTTCAGTATGAAAGGCCATCAATAGGTATCTCTTCCTTTTTTTTCTTGCCTTTTACATCTCTATGCTGCTCTTTTAATCTCCTCTACGTGCTCCAAAGACCTGGTAAGAGAATCATCTTGCTGGAATTAAGTTTCGACGCCTCCTTTAAGTCATCTGGAATTTGCCTAATAGATTAGCTGTAATTTCACGAAATTCCCCTGGTGATCCTGAATGGACCATGTTTTTAGATTTACGACCTGGACCATTTCTTCTGGTATACGGGGACCTGTCCTTTTGATCCAGTGATAAATGGCACGACTCTCTCCAGTATTTATAGTTCCAACTTCAATACATGTGGTGTGTAGAGTGGTTGCCATGCATATCTACCCTGAGACCAGGGGGTTGCATGTTTGGGCAGCCTGAGACTCGAATGGTATTCATAGCTACTCTCGAGCAGAGAAATTACGTTTTCAGGCAGGCATGGGAGTCGAATGACATGAGGGAATTGTGATAACTCTCGTTTACCTGGAGTTCACCTGAAGAAGTTGGTATCCTCGTCCAAAGTTTTTTGGAAACAGAGCCTTCAAAATTTCTTCACAGAGAGGTCCATCTCCACAAACGTTTCAATTAGGATCAAACATATCACTAGTGTTTGTCGCATCATTTGAGCTGGTTTTTTTTTGGTTAGATATCATCTATCTAGCTCCTTAGAGGATTGCATTTCACTCAATCAAGTTTTAGCAGGATCACGAGTGTCAGTGCTAATGGTTACTGAAAATTGATTTGGATCTATAAATCATCTTCAGGGTAACGATTAGAAGTTGTTTATTTACTTGCACCGATCATTGCTTGGGTTGAATGTTATCTTCTTTTATTAAAAAGTTTCTAATGATGCAGTATATTGGAGATTTGGGGGCTGATTTTGAAGTCTATCGCAATGACGAGCTCACAGTGGAAGAAGTGAAAAGGTGCTCTCCTCATTTCCTGGCAAAAGGGCTCTTTGCATCCTTTGTCATATTACTCTGTTACAGTAGATTAATTCCATTGCTTCAATCGCATCTATAAATATGTTGCAATTGTTGTTGCTGTTCTCTCCGTAGGAAAAACCCGAGAGGCATTCTAATCTCCCCTGGACCTGGTGAGTTTCTTCCTACTCTAGATTATTTCTGATATTCTAAAGCAGACCCTATAATTTTCCTGTCCCGAGGGAATGATTCCCAATAATCTCATTCAGATTCCGTAATCTACTTTCTCTTCCCCTTATCTGTGCAGGTACGCCCCAAGATTCAGGGATTTCCCTGCAAACGGTTCTAGAACTTGGTCCTTCTATTCCCCTGTTTGGGGTCTGTATGGGGCTGCAGTGCATTGGAGAAGCCTTTGGAGGTGGGTTGCTGGTTGTTCTTGGGTATTAATCTGCCTGTTGTACGAAGAGTTTTCAGACTTCACTTCCTGCAGGAAAGATCGTCCGTTCCCCTTATGGCGTGATGCATGGGAAAAGCTCTCCAGTGTTCTACGACGAAAAGGGAGAGGATGGCTTGTTTGCTGGTCTCTCAAAGTGGGTATTTATTTATTGATAATACTATAATTTAAGCTTTCAATTATAAATTTATTACTTGAATTGTTTCACCGTTTATGGATTCTTGATTTTTATTTTATTTGGAAATGATTCTGATAAATATTATACTGAAGCATGATTCCCTGTTAATTTTTTTATTTATTAATGTTACTGGAATTTTCTTTGGAAATGGGTGTGACGATAAGGGTTAGATTGAAGCATTTAATTTATAAATAGACTTTGGGAGGTTCTAAACCCTAAGGATGTTATATCTCCTTGTAACGAAGAACCATCAAGATCTGGCAATGTACTGATTGTTCTTGGTTATTCAGTAATTAAAAAATGGAGAAATATTCCGATTTCCAATACGATGATACTCTTGGGATTGGATCATATGGGTTTTGAGTTTCTACTTTGATTGGAAAAAAAATAAAAATTGAACTGGCGTTATATTCCTGTATTAGATTAGGAGGAATAGAGCCCCAGAATGTCTCACTTTCAAACTCTGGCTCATTAAATGGAGACCCATTTATGCATTGACTAAGCTTGATAATTCCGGAATAAATCGGAGAATATTTCTGATTTCCATCTAATCATCATTTTTCTTCCCTGTTCGTATTGCATCTTATGGCTGATGAGTTGCTCATTCGATTAACAAAATAGGGCTCTGGGGATTGAACGGTTTGTTGTTTTTCTGCAGCCCGTTCACTGCTGGCCGATACCACAGCCTTGTGATTGAAAATGATACCTTTCCTCAAGATTCTCTTGAGATCACGGCGTGGACAGAGGATGGGTTGATCATGGCTGCCCGCCACAAGATCTACAAGCATATCCAGGTTTGACCTTCATCTGTTGACTTTGACAAGATTCATCTGGAAATGATCAACCATCATCGGATCTTATCCTTGATCATATGCTGATGCTCTACAATAACCATCTCGACATTGAAAGGACACCAATTCTTGGCCAAAATCTGCCTTCATCTCTCTCTCTCTCTACCCATCTGGGTTTCTCCTTTCCACATGATCTTGACGACCAATTCCTGTCTCATAACCCGGAAGTGTATGTGTTCTACGACTTGCAGGGGGTCCAGTTCCATCCGGAGAGCATCATCACGACAGAGGGCAAGAAGATGGTCCACAATTTCATTAAGCTGATCGAGAGATTGGAGTCTGGAGTTAGGGACTGATACCCAGAGCTCCCCCAGTGCTTGACCAGACGGTGCTCGATTTTATTTTTTTCCCAAAAATGGAAAATTCAACTCCAGGCCAGGTGGCCAAAGGGTATGGTTTCTTTTCTATCAGAGGAGGGCCTCTGGAGGCCTTCCATGGTGGTGTCGGTGTTCCTCCCGTTTGTGCCTGTCTTCCATGGTGGTGTGGCCCCACAAGCCCGAGCCTGTGCCTGGCCCGGCCCGGATTTTTCGGGCCTGGGCTGGGCTTCAATAGAGTTTGTTTGGGCCGGAGGCCATTTATATGGTGATGGCCCAGTGTGGATTTGGGCCCTGTGCTCGGACTGGGCCCGTTGACGGTCTTGTAGATTTCTCTCTTCGTGAATGTTCTAGACGTGGTTTTTAATGGGCTCGGGCATAGGCTCCGTTGGGGCAGGTAGCCCATTTTCCATCGGAAAAAAAAGGATTTAATTTACAAAGAAATCCGAAATAAATCCAAACAAGCCCGACAAAATATTTAGTTTAAAATAAAATAAACCTCATAAACTCAATATTAAATGAACTGGCCTGTTAGAGCACATTGAGGACATTTTTTTCCTTTGACTAGCCTAAGATAATGAAAACACCACTCGTATTTTCATCATAAAATATAAATAATTAAAGGGTTAATTAGGTTTAGGTCCCTACACTATCTCCTTAGGTCCAAGTAAAATAATTAAGAAAAAAGGGGGCTGAACCCCAAAATCAGGAGGTTTTCAGGGCCATAAGACTCATCACCCCAAGAAAGCAACATACAGCTGTTTTTCTATTTTATCCAGGGAAGAAAAAAAATACAACTGGGGACCGCTCACCGCCTCTCGCAGTAACCCCGAGGGCAGAAAAATTATTTTACATTATTTATGGATTTTCTGCACCGGTAGGTCCCTGTATCGCAGGGGCTTGCTCTCAGATCGTCGGCGAGTAGATGATGTCGGAGAAGATGGAGTCCTGGCTCTAGCCCTCTGTGAGGGTCGCCGGCGTTCTGGGCTTGCCGGCGATCATGAAGGACGGGAAAGTCACCTCCCTGATGAGCGACGGTCCGCCCCAAGCCTTCTCCAGCTCCTCCATGATCTCCGGCGTCAACAAGTCGACCCCTTGTTTCTTGGCGGTGTTCAAGGGGGACCAGGACCGCATCAGCTGGAGAATCCCCTCGAAGGAGGCTTCCGTCTTCATCTCGAGGGCCACTGGCTGGCCTTCGGCGCCCACACCCACGCTGTCGAAGGGGAAAGGGAGGCTCCTGTATTCCTCGGCGACGAGGCGGATATTGGGGTTGCAGAAGGGCAGCGTCGTGTCGACGAATCTCCGTACTATGGGGTCGAAGGAGGGGCAGACGCGAATTAACCCGTAGCTCCAGACGGCCACCACGCCGCCGGGCTTCCTGAGGACGCGCTCCACCACGGGGTAGAACTTCTGGAGGTCGAACCAGTGGACGGCTGTGGCGACGGTGACCAGATCGACGGAGCTCTCCCCGCCCAGTAGCGCCACCAGGTCGTCCTCCGGCATGGAGATGGGCGTGTGGAGGTACCGGATCTTGGGGTGCGGCGCGGCCTGCTTCAATTGGCCCTCGCTCACGTCTGTAGCGACGACTCTGTCGTAGTGGTCGGCCAGCTGCTCCGCCGCCGTCGACAGGAAACGGGTGGATGTGTGAGAGGTGGGGCGGGGAGAATTCGGCGGAGGGGGGAGCGTAAGGGGCGAAGGGGACTTACGCCGACAGCGGCCTGGCCGTTGCCCGTGCCGGCGTCCCACGCCACGCCGTGATGTTGGGTGAGGGCGGCGAGTCGATCGAACCACTCCCTCGGGTACTTCGGCCTAATCTTTGCGTAGATCTCCGCCTGCGTCTCGAAAAGGTCCGCCATGATCTCCACCTATTTCCTCTCTCTCTCTCTCTCTCTCTCTCTCTCACTCTCTCACAGAAAGCGAGCCTTACGGACCTCGGAGTCCTTGGTAATTTATACGAGCAAGTTAGTACAAAAATAATGCACAGTTTCTCTCTCTCTCTCTCTCTCTGCGTAAAAAGGAAGGAAGAACATCCATCAGAAGAATAGGTAGATCAGAAAGCCCACCACCATGAACTATCAGAAAACTCGTGGAAGACTCGCGCCTCCTGCCCGGGCGGAAATCTTAGTAGAAGAGGTTGCATGTCTCTCCACAGAGCACAAGGTTGAGTCATAGAGCATACATGCCACATGACATGATAAGTGACTAGGACACAATATTCAGTACCCGCTTCTAAATGGTCCTCTTCACATAGATGATTGCATAGATAAGTTTCTCAACAAGCTTAGAACAACAGATAAACGACCAAATGGAGTAGATGAACATCATGTCGAAGAATCACATATAACATTATGTGGCGCTACTCAATTATCTTAGAACCTCTACCAAAGTTTGGGAGCGAGATAGTTGCTAATAAAGCTGATGACATGATGTCAACTACTAACCCAAGTAAGTCAAGTTTTGATGCATGTACACACCATGTTAAATGAGAAAACCACAAAGAATGATAGGAGCTATTTCAGATAATGAAGCACAAAGGATGATACTAGGGTATAGTGCCACACTTCAATACGTCCTTTGGGTTGGTGGTGTAGGTAGACAAGCTAGTATATCACCTCAACCTCCCTAGAAGGCTAATGATTCGTTATGTTTCTCCACATGTCACTCATAAGTGACTTGTGGTTGATGAAAATGACATAGAGCACAATTTTCCTTAACAAACACCACTGACTATGCATGCTTAGCGCACCAAGAAAGAATTGGCCATTTCAAGACGAATTGTCACAATTACCTCACACTCGAGGAGAATACGACTCATGAGCACATGTGTAGGACCTCATTCATAGGTACATTGACTAATCCATCAACAATAATGTTGTAATTGCTGCATGGGGGGAGGCACTATGTGACACTATCAATATGAACCTACCCGTGTAGGTTCACATGTATTGCCATAGATGAACATTGCATGGTACATGCATAATTCTGTTGGACAACATTAGGATGGAATAACATGACGTAGCACCATATGATGTGGTGTCGCATGAGGAAGGTACTACACATTGGTAGGTAGTGGATGCGTAGGTAAGGGGACGAGGAGTCACCATGCCAAGGCATGCAATGTAACATGACGATGAGCAGTCACTATCCTTAAGTGCGTGGTTTGGTAGACAGGGAAGATCTACCTTTTAACAGGAAAGAGATCACTCCTTCCCAAAAGAAGCTGCCTGTTCCTGCATTATATAAGCTGCTCTACGAGAGAGGGCTTCTTGTTGGCACTGGTGGAGTGAAAAGGGTAAGTCAGACTGACAAGGCTACGACAAAAGTTCTTCAGCATTTTGCATTATTGCCAGCAAAGATGTAGAGAGAGAGAGGGAGAGAGGGAGAGAGGGAGAGAGAGAGAGAGGGGGGGCACCGTGTGGCCCTTTTTCTCCCCTCCCCTCCACAAGGTCCATCGATCACAAATCATTCACGCCATTAACAAGAAAAAATAAAATTGCAGGCTCTCCAGTTGTACACAGACCCTGATGAAACATTACACACCACCTCGGCCATCACTGTGTCCAAAAGCAGCCAAAGACAGCCAAGAACGACCCCCCCACCCCCACCTCCCTGAGGACACATGGAGTCTGGAGTAGGGAAGAGGGAGATGAAAGAACCCGCCGCCGCCCTGCCACCGCCGGGAGGGAGGGGTGGGGGGCGGTGGCGGCCAGGTTCACTCCTGGCGGATGAAAGGGGAGGAGCTGATATCGGTGCTGAAGAAGGATTCATCGGCGAGCCCGTAGAGGTTCCCCTGCCTGGCGTCCTCCCATTTGAGGACCTCCCGTATGTACCTGAAGGCCTCGTCCACCGTGGCCCGCTCCCTTGCCCGGGTCTGCCCCACAAAGAGCTTCTGCCTGGTGAGGGAGAAGTAGAGGTCCTTGAATTTACAGGCGATGTAGTAGAAGGCGTGCCCCGCGAGTGACTGGCCGCTGCCGCCTTGGGCACTCACAGGGCTGAAGTCCCTGAACCACTCGCAGGTGGCCAGCGGGCTCCGGCCGATCTTCTCCTCAAAGGCGTCGTACTTGTTGAGCAGCAGCACGAAGGGGGTCCCCCTGAAGGAGGGGTGCCGCACCACCCCTTCGAAGAGGTCCCGGCTAGCCATCATCTTGTTCCTAGCTTGGCCCGGCCCGCGGGCCAACACCTGGTCGTAGTCGCTCAGCGCCACGCAGAAGATTACTGCCCGCGCGTCCTCGAACATCTCCAGCCACTTGCACCCCTCCGTCGGGCCCCTCAGGCTGGCCCGGATCAGCTGGTACCTGCAAAAAGAGAGAGGCAGAGAGAAAGGAGGTGGGGCATTAGGCGCAGTTTCACCCATGAGGTTTGACTTGGCGTTTGAGTTCGAGAAGAGAGTTGACCTTGATAGGGGAGGCGGGCAGTCGTGCTTGTCCGGGTAGGGCTCCGATAGGGGATTCCGGTCGTCCAGGGAGAACTCGATGAAGGCGAGGCTGTTGCACTGGGTGACCCCCTCGGCGTACAAGATGTCCTTCTCGGAAGGTTCATAGTCGTTGCTGGATATCTCGATGGCCTGGAGACGGTTGAAACCTAAGTCAACGTGTGCCAGCCCATAAAGTCAACTTACGCTTTCCTTAAATGGATATTCCGGAATAACCGCAGAGATCTAGCATTAAAGATGCCTGTTGCCTAACAGATTAGCTAGTTCATCCGATTTGAGACTAATCTACACCATCCCTCAAACAGAAAAACAGAGAAACCAAAAAACGATGCATTCGAAAAATAATTAATTTGCCTGTTAGTCAACTGCGGTATCTCTCACATTAAAGAAGATGCTTCCTACCCACAGGATATCAACCGGGTCAACCAATGTGCGGCTGATATAGCATCATAAAGACGAAAAAACAGAGAAAATAGAAAGAGTGGCATCTAAGTAGAATCAACGGCCACAGAAAAGTTCTAGAATCTGGTTTAGACATACCTGATCGAGAAAATAGCTGGCAACATCAGGAAGGGAGTGCAATTCATTCTTCCGTTTGTATGTCTCTCGAATCGCCGGATCCTTCCAGAACTCATCCAGCACTGGAGCATATTCACGAGTCGCAGCTGGAAAGAAAGCCTCCAAGTCGCCCATAGCCATGATCTCCAGAAGCCAGTCAGAAAAATGCTTCAGCCTTTTGTTGATAGAATAAATACATGGCCTGGTTTCCCCCCCATCATCCCCTGAACAGACAACAATAAGTCACTGAATGTTGCTTTTTTCTGCTATTCAAGATATTTTTTACTATGGACCTTAGTGTGGTCTGAAGAACATGAAGAAACCAATCCGAGATTGGAAGGCAGATATAACGGAAGTCCATATCCATAAATTTGATCAGAGTGTTTTTTTTCTCAGAATGTTAGTATGCATGATGGTAGCATTGCATCCATGAGCATTTAGGGTAGACTGGAATTGCTCAAACTCTCAGCCCATATGAGGTGTGTCAATACTTGGAGAAATTATAAATAAGAATCAAGTACTAATTAGCTTAATGCTCGCATGACAAGAACGTGTAAGAAAGATAATTAAATTCTGACCAAAGAAACAAAAAGAAGCGTCCTACAGTATTATAAACTAAAATAGAAAATATTTCCATGAACAAGTGAAACCTCAGTAAAACTGAGAACTAGAAATTTGGGCATCTAACAAGATGCCACCAAGATCGCATTAGACGGTAGTGAAGATGGGAATACAACTGAAGGACAAAGAAAATGAAAGGAGAGTCGTACTTGCATCAGAGGCAGCAGCATCTATGGTACAGTTTTTCCCTTCCAAAGCTTCCTCTTCAAAGCGCTCCCGCCCTTCAAGCAAAGTGCCAAGATACTTGTACATGTTTCTTTGAATCATGAGTTTGATCTCATGCAATTCTTCCGGAGAAAACTTGTTTCCGTATAAGAACTTGGCCTGTTCAAGAGAGTAACAGGTTCATTCGCGGTCTTTAACAAGTAAAATCTCTCAAAATCCCCAAAAAATCACGATTCGAGATTATAAAATTCACATCAGGTCAATTGCATTATGGCTCCAAATGCGCATCATTCTTTTGAGAAATAGCTCAACATGAAACACAAAATTAGAAATGGCACAATGTGCAATACAGAATTTTGCAGGGAAATCCCTCCTTCTCACACTTAATTTAGCAAGTTAGAAAAGTGAGAACTGCATCCACAAAATCAGTGGAAACCCCACGAAATGATGGGCGACATTCACTCGTGTAACTTCATAACACATAAGTCAACAGATACGTAGATTGCAAAAAGCTAGAATTGAGGGAAATGAGAGTGAAAAAAGAAGACCTGCTTGAAGATAGTGCTGGATCCTGAGCCTTCTGGACCAAGTAACAAGAGCTTCTGACCTACTTGATACATTGGCACAGACCTAGTTGAAAAAGTAGGCGAATGTTCACTTATCCCATTGGAATTCCCCGGCGGTGTTGGCAATGAGAATAAAGAACAAATGAGACGAGTTGATGCCTGACTAGCAAAGAACAAAAGTATTTAACAATCAATCTACAACTCTAGGAAGAAACTTTTGAGCACAAGATTTATTTTACTCGGCTATAATGACAACATGAATAGTACCTTTCCCCAAATGTTTCCTTTAATATTATTCTGACCCTCCTCCTCGTAGGAACCATCATCATATAGCCAGAAGTGAGTTTCCCTAGGACAATGTACCTTGGCCAACTGAAAAAGAAAATTAAATGATAAAATGCATATCAAACGTTCAACATAAATCAATCACTTCTTAAAACCTGCGAACACGTTCTAGGAAAGTAGAAGATAGCAACTGAACAGAAAGAAATATCGGGTAAAAACACACAATGGGCAATGTGGACAGAGATTTAAAAAGCACCAGAGAGTTTGAACAAAGATGAGCCTACAAACTAGTACTCTGAAGCTTGATATCAAGAGAATCTGCTAGGGATTTTCGGGCAGAAAGCATCCTGAACAGGGTTCACCAACAGCTCTTGGTATTCATCCTCATTTGATAGTGGACCCATGCCAAACCGGACCATGACGTCAATAAAACCCCCAAAATGGAGATTAGGCTACTAATCTTCTCTTCTCAAACAAAGTATCTTGTCAATCCTATTATCATATAATCATATTTAATAAAATACAAATCAAATATATAAATAAATAACAACTTTGCTGACTATTAAAGATTAAACCTACAATCTCTCACTAACTTCTGACCTTTCTCAATTTTCCAGTACTGTATGCTTTATTCTCACATGACATTCTTCAGGCCTGTTTTTCGTGATAGTACAAAGTCATCTGCAGCCCTTTCCGGTGCAGATGCAGCACGTTACTTCATTTCTGCAATGCTCGACCTTGTTCACTTTTTTCCACATATCAAATTGATTTTTCAGCAGTCGCAATATTCATTCAGTTTCTTCTCCTCATGTATTCCCGTCGATTATTCCTTGTTTTCTGCCGTTGACCCAGCAAACCGACAAACCCCATCTCTTGGAGAAGAGACTATGCTATAGATGATGGCATCTTGACGATCTCCCCTTGATGAATTGGCAGAGGAACGTGAGTATGACCATGCTATCAACACGATACTAAAAATTAGTGAAGGGCCCTAGCAATGGTTGTGATGGGTTTAATCTTCGAAAGATACAGAAAAGGGCATGGCAGCATCCTTTTTTCCACTTCATTATTTCCCCCTCTTCTGCTCCTTGCTTCCTTGCTTGTTTGCCAACCAAACCTCCGAATTCCTTTCCGCTTTTTTACTTATTTTTCCCTTCTCTTCCTTTTACTTTTCCTTTTTCGTGCATAACGCGTATTTAGACAAAAGTCAGAGACAGGGGAGGCTGAAATCAATTACAATTCACCAGATTTCAAACCTTCGAGATGAAAAAACCAAAAATATTGGGAGAGTATTTGATTGCACAGAGCAGAGAAAAGCTAATAACGCAAAGCTGCACAAATAAAGTACGTCTGATGTATGAGGAATGAGGCCACGATGACACACATTAACAGGAACACGAGATTGGCCAAGTCATATTATTTGGCATTTTGAAGGAACCCATGAAGCAAATATATGAGTCAAGAATCTATCCACGTTGGGAATGAAAGCTCCACGCATAAGTTCTATTTGATGTACAGGAACATGAGATTTGTGGTGGCGCCCTCGCTTGAATTGCATTATAGCGAACAAATAAAAGAACTGTATCATGACAATGTTTGTGAAAGAAGTTACATAAGACGATGGCTCCAGCTGTGCTTGAGCTCCTCACAGCTATGCCATGCATAATTTGATCAAATAAGGCCAAACAAAAATTCACCTTCAATACTCTGAGCTCTGTCTTTGTGATTTCACGGCCATTTATGTACACCTGTGTGTTGCCGTTGCTTGCGTCAGTCCGTAGCTTCCCCCCTACATTTAGCTTTGAACTAATGATTAAATGAGGCTTCTCGCCCTCCTGAAATCCGACACATACAAGAACCAGTTAGCCTCCAAAGAAAGTAAAAGACGAGTAAAAACAGTTTCGGGGCCAGCAGACTATCCAACACTGATGAACAATCAGGAAACTATCTGGACAAAACAAGGATAGAATAAAGAAAAGGCTGATATTTTCCTGCTTCTATTCTAGCTAAATATTTCTGTCTCGAGAAAAAAAAAAAAAGAGGAAAAGAACATCGGTCGATTTTTTGTCCCCGATTTCTAGAGAGTGGATGATTCTCTGTGATTAGCGGGCCTTCTCCAAATTCTCATGCCTCTGTAGGAACCAGGGGGAACAAGTGCTCGCTTTATTTTTATCAGGCTTTCAGGATGAAATTTGGATGGTATTCGAGGGAGGGGGGAGAAGAGGGAAAGAGATGAGGCGAAGAAATCCATCTCTCACCTTACCCCACAGCCCAGAGTCCTTGTCGTACCAGTATCGCCCCGGCTTCAACCTTCGAGGAGGAATAGGGCAACCAAGGATCTCATCCAGCTCTTCCTGCCTCAGTGGTCGTCCGTTCACAACCAGCTGCTCCGGAAGCAGCTGGTTCGCTGGGCATTCCTTCTCCGCCTTCATGATCTGCCGCACCTCCAGGGGGCTGCACAGTCTACAGAGCATCCTCGAGCTCTTCCCCAGGCTCGACCTCTTCGACTCGTCGATCGGGCGTCCGATGCAGCTCACGCACTTCCTCCCCTCCGGCATAGAGCCCATAGCCTTGAGCACACAATTGCTACAGTACCTCGAATCACACACCAGACAGGCTTCCCTCTCCCTCAAGACGTTCCCCTTCCCACACCTGGAGCATACTCCTCTCTTCCTCTCCCCGATCCGGCCCTCAGAGATGGCACCGGACCGACCAATTGGTTCGGAAACTTCATCTTCATCCCTCCCCGGCTCATCCACATGGTTAAACGTCACCGCCGCAGGTTCCGCCGGAGATCCGGAAGGGGGACTCTGATCATGGACAGAAGAAGACGACGCCCTCGGACTGTACGCCTCCTCTCCCTCCGATTCCATCATCTCCTGTCTCTGCGACCGCTCCACAGCACCAAGGAACCGCTGGCTCAACCGCCGGCTGAGACTGGTTCTTCTCTGCGGAGCCAAGTATTCCTGAACGGACACCAGAGAAGAAGCAGACTGGCCCATGAGGAAGCGTGCATCCACGGGATGGATTTGGGGGACGTCGTGAGGAACCGTAGGGCCGACATACTCCATCGCTATCGAGTAGTCGAGCTGCTCCTCGTCCGGAACAGGCGCCCCCGGAGGAAGCATCCTCATCAACATCTCCTTCCATGCCCTCTCCTCCCCCTCCTTCTCCTCCGCCGCCACCGCCGAAGCAGCAGCAGCAGCCGCAGCAGCCGCAGCAGCCATCTCTCCTAACTCTGGATCAGAGCAACCCTCAGAGGCCGTCCATGACAGGATGCCGGGAAGGTCGCCGGCAGGAGCTCCTCTTGGTCGCCGCTTGGTCGCCGCCGCCTGTCGGAAACGAGCTCAAGTCCGGCGGCGGCAACCCCGAACGGACCCGTATTCACACCGGCTAGCGTCTTAATGGGGCTCCGTTAAATGTGGCGCCTCCTACCTACGCCATTGACGTAAGCCGTGCCATTTAAATGACTAAAATATCCCTACCCAACCCAAAGAAGTCAACGGCAAGTTGGTTATTATCAAACTTTATTGTCGTATCTCAAATAGAGCGTATGTATAAGCCTTCAATCTCATGAAATCCATTTTAAAATAATTTGAGGGCCGGAATCAATGAATTTTAAAATGCGTAAAGGGTATTCGTCTCATCACTTACAATTTTCCAATTTCACGATGATATTTCTCATGTTCCGGCGGAGCAGAGTAATAAGATTAGAATTTTGGCGCGAAACCTCTATGATATGGCAGACATAGTGGAAGCCTAACATGGACCGCGGGATACGATAAAGACTACTCGGCAGGACGGCAGACTAGTCCGTTAGACCTGGTATGGTACGGTTTTGATGTCGGTCTATCACTGTTATCGAGCAAGTTATATTTATATCCTTGTTTAAAATATCTTTTACATGGAAGATATTATTAGAAATATTATTATATTCTTAGCCTCAGATAGGGGTTTTAGGTGTATTATTGTGGTCAGGTTAGGCTATCTGATCGAACTCCAAACATGAAAGCGGATAAACTGGGTTTAGGGTAGATATCTTATGAAACGTATGCTTGGCCAGAGAGAGGCAAGGAGGAAGTGTGTGTGTGTGTGTGTGTGTGTGTGTGTGTGTGTGTGTGTGAGAGAGAGAGAGAGAGAGAGAGAGAGAGAGAGGATATGATATTTAAACTAAAGTGATACGAGTTGAAAGGACCTCTACCCCTCAACTAACACACTAATCGTAAGGTTGACTATCTTGCTATTTAGTATGAATCCTACATACAAGATGACTTAATGGTACTTAGATTTATTAGCACGTGGGGATGCTAGTGTTATATTTTTTTAATTATATTTGTCTTTTAAGTTGACAAAAAAAATAGTAAATGTTATTAGTCCACTGATTATATGTTATTTTATTTGGTTTATTTTCTCTCTAAGTTGATATAAATATTTGCTTTTAACCACTAAAAAGTTTTACAAGAATTTGACATTGATTGAATATATTTTTGAGTTAGTTTGTCTTTTTAAGAAATTGACTAACTCACTTTAACTCACTTATAAGTGACAAAAAGGAAAAGTAACATGTATTGAATAATAATTTATCAAATCCATGCAATTTGTGGTAAACTTATGGTACAATATTTAAGAACTGAGCTATTAGTCCTGAGATCTACAATGTAGTATATCAAACTAGTGTTATAGTGATGCATGCTCGTGTTATGATAACTACTATTCATAAACTCATCGTATGCAAGAATTAAAGCAATAGATTATGACATAGCCATTGGAGTGTTGGTCTAAATGAGACATCACATGGCCTATGAAGGGGTAAATTGATCTTTTTAATTCTCTCTATTAATCATGATTTATGTCAAAAGTGTTAGAAACAAGATTCAAAGTGGTTCAACACACATGGACTAACTCCACTCTCTAAAGATTATGTCAATTGGCTCTACTAACTCATGTTTGTATAGTTGTTGAACACAAACTTTCAGCTAGTCTCCACTATATCTCATGGCTCTAACCAAACCAAGTATTTCACAAAAAATATTTATTCCATATTTACAACTATATGAGGCTCACTTGATTATTGTCCACATGATCTCTTCTTGATTTAAAACTCTACATTAAATTAAGTATTATATGTCATATAAAAAATAAGCACAAATAGATGCTCTTAAGAATTTGATAAGTAGCTTATGATGGTGTAAATTATAGGCCCAAAAAAGTAAACATATTTTGTGGTGTGAATGTACTTGAGAGAAAATTGTTGAATTCAAAATTTCAATGATTTTTCCTTTCTTAGGACTTTAAAGATGCATTAGAACATTCTTCTCAATTTTTGCAATATTTATTAATACATAAAGTGGTTAAAGATAGTCATCAAATGGCTAGTGGCACACCCTAATGACTAAATTTAAGGGAATTGTAACTTTATGTCATTTTCCTAATTATTCTTGTGACGTCATTCCCCTTCATGTCTTCTTTTCATGACTACTCACTTCATTTAATGAAGAATAAATTGAAAAGTTCTAGGAATATTAAAATAAAATAAAATAAAAAGGGAAATGGAATATTATTGTAATGTGAAATCACTATTTTTATGCACTTTCTTCAATTTTAAGGGCTTGTTCCTTATAGATGTTTTGACTCATTTCTTCAATTTTAAGGACTTGTTCTTTGTAGATGTTTTGACTCATTTCTTCAAGTGATAAATTAGATTATTTCATATCTTATGAGTCAACTCACTTTCTTGGTTACTAAAGAGACAAAAGATTTTTCATGAATGGGCTCACTCATATGCCTACTTGGTTTTTTTTCATTATAAGTGAGTTGATTCACTTGTTATAGTAGTGAATAAAGAATTTAACATGCAATATTATTATATTACCCTTATTTAAATTGATCTAAATCAAGTAATCTTTGAATTTTATTAATTATGGATTAATTTCTTTAATTCACTACACACTTTACAAAAATTTTAATTGCTGGTATTTAAGAATGGCTAGTTTGATTATGCATGGCATGCTAGTTTAAATACCAAGTTATGCATTGAATTCATAATACTTTTACTAACTTTAAATTCAATGTTTAAGGATAAATCAGATTTTTGAATTCAATTAAAATGTTTAATTAGTCGATTAAATTGTCCACAAGTGCACATGTTTAAGATCAGCCAACTAAAAGCTAAATATTAAATTTATCACGATTAATTAACAAGATACACTTTTGACTTAAATTAACATTACACTAATGGTAAATCAAAGTTGAAAAAAAAATTGGAGAATGATCTAGTTAGTGGTCTAAGGAGTAAGTCAAAATCTCACACTGGTCATATTCATGTATACATATATACTCATTGGTAAGAGACTTCAAAGATGAACAAGATGCAACAAACCATGCAAGGAAATTCATAAATTTAAATTTATTATGAATTTTATAAAAGTAAAAAAATATGATTTCAAGTGTTTATGTGATATCTAATGGACTGGTTTTCAGCTGTTAGTAGCTAATGTAAATTCGTATTAGATGTGTCAAATCTACATTGTATAAAAAAGACACTTCACCTTACACCAAATAGAAAAGAGAAAGAAATAACAATGTTGATATCCACCATTCAATAAGTTTGCATTAGCCTATATGATAAATCATGGTAAACTATATGCACACCCTCCCCCCCCCCCCCCAAGACTAGAAAAGTCACTTAGATGCTACAAACCTTACATGGTGCCTTTCTAAGTCACCATTATAAAGGTTGAAAGGCTAGTTACTATCACCATTTGACACCTAGGAAAAGAAGAAAATTATTTAGAGAAATTTTACACTCATAGCAAGAAGGACATTGTATAAGAGAAAAATGGTAGCAACACAAATATGAGATCACAACTGAATTAATATTGAAAATCATATATACCTTATATGTGATTCTTTATTAATCATTTCCTCATGAGAAATGAGTTGACTCACTTAATATGAGTAACAACTTCCTTATTAGGAGTCATCTCATGGAGAATCCTTATATCCTCTATACTAAAGGAATTGAATAGAGAGTAACTTACTAGAAAAAGAGAACTTGATTTATCACTTATAGAATTGAGTTCTCCATCTAGGGAGAACAATGCATATATAAATAGATAAAAAAGGTATTGAAGCATATACAATGGTAAATATATAATTTTACATTAGAAAAATATTTAAATATCTTTCTTATCCTTGATTGCATTTCAAATTCTCTAGTCAATTTTATGAAATTTTATTTGAAGCTTTTAGATTTGATTTTATTGCAAAGGTTTTAATTTAATTTTTTAAAACAAGATGTGAGTCCACTCAAAGTAGTCAAAAGCATCACTATATGAAAAACAGTTACCATACAAACTACTACAATGATGTCAAAGACCAGCAGTTATAGTGTTATAGCTGTTAAGTTGACCTTTAAAATTATTCTTTTAACCATTGAGAATGTAAAAATTAACAAAGATCTAACTCACCATATCACACCATGAAATCCATTCCACCTTCTCTCTAAAGCATACAAATGTCTCATCTTTAATGAGACCTTCAAATCAAATAATTCACACCACTAGAAACTACACACTAAATCTGTAATAACATTATGTTTTTTTATTTAATATTTGAGTACTTTTAGTACTCTATGTTACGTAAGAGTAGTTGAGTGTTAACTTGGTAGGCCTTCCCTAGATATGTAAGTCTGTTAGGAAAGTTAAGAGGAAATAATTAAGTTGGCTAGAGTCATCAGATCTACTATGAGGTGAGCCAAAGCATGACATGATTTTTATAGAGTGAAAGATGTTAAGTGACTAAAACTACTATAATTCTTGGTTTCTAATATTGATCGGAAATATAAATTTAGAAAGAGGATTAAAAAAAGATTGACTCAACCCCCTCCTTTTCATTCTTATCATTGCCTTCATTAAAGCAAGAAAACAAATCATCTTATTTGACTCCATTCACTTTGCATTCTATTGAAACAAATCTCTTCAAGTATCCAACTAATTAGACTTAAATACAAAGCATGGCTTAGCCCATATATGGATAATATTCATCAAGACTATAGTAGACTTTCAGAATGGCCATGCCTCACAAAATTGATCTCAGTTTGCTCTAAGTTTGTGAACTTAGCTTAACCAAATATTTATCTATATTAGAGCACCATGATCACTATGAAACCATGGCACCTTTGAAAGAAATGACTTAATGATTACCTAGCTCTATATGAACTCATGTAATATTTTAGAAATTATCATTACCCTTTTAAAAATATTACTTGTTGAATAATTATTCCTAAAAATAAAAGCTCTTCCTCAACCTAAGTAATACAAAGTACATAAATTATCAATTATCTTTGCACGCTATATATGCGTTATTTTTACAAAATTAATTATTCGTACTCTTATTATGTAAAAAATCATATCATAGCGTCAAGGAAGCAAATGAAATTATGGCTTCAATTGGATCAATGTTAATTGAGAAACACATGATATCATAATTCGGGCCAATAGGGTCCGTCCAGAAAGTTCTGGATGCATCTAGTTATAACAAGCTCGGTTTATGGCGACTGGGTCCGCCACGTCGAGGCCCGCTTCGAAATCGACGTGGCCGGATCACGTTCGCGGATTTTTGCGTGGCGATTTCTCATTGGTGGACTTCTATCTCCACGAGCCGCCCGCAACCGTAGCCGAAGGATTGTGAGGCCACGATTTTACACGGCTTCGGACGCGTCATATTTCTCGCCGTGGGATCGTTCATGGTATCTCTCCTTCGGCAGAAAATCTCAAAGCTGTATTGCATACGAACCCTATTATTTAACTAATATGAAATATACTCACACGTAACTATAATTATCTTTTCACTCGCAGACGAAACTGTCAGTGTATGAAGAGACGATGTTTATAAGATAAATTACCAACATAACCTTCTTAGTTTCTGATTGACCACAAGAGCTCTCTCTCTTCCCTTCTGAAAATAGCCCAGTGGTATATAAGTAATTTACAGAAAAAAATGAGTAGAATATTATAGCCAGAAAATCAGAGGACCCTAGTACTATAAATAAGTACGCCTCCTCTGCAACAAGAGCCCATCCTCTTTTCAGAGCTGTCGGCGGCGAGGTTCTCTTGCCTGGTCAGATTTGGCGTGCCCCTTGTGAGGGTAGGGTTCGTCTTCCCCTTTGTATCGCCCCCTCCTCCCGCGAAGGATCTGCTCTGGTGCCGGAGATGGCGGACTGCTGGATGATTGATGCCGCGCCTGCCCTCGCCGCGTCTGGTGGCATGGCTGCGAGTAGGGGGGCCTTTGCGGCACGACGCCCTGAGATTCTCTCTCTCGGCTCGAAGATCCTGTTTTCCAGCAGATTGCTCAAGGTAATCGGCGGATCTAGTTTCTCTTTCCATTTCTAGGTTTTCTTGGGATGGCATCCTATGTGAGATGGTGGTCGAATTTTTTTTTCTTGTGTATGTCCAAAAAAATTCGTCGACCTTGTGTTCTAATACTAGCTTCTGATGACCAATGGCAGCCTTGCAAGTCCATCTCTGTTTCCAGTGTAGGGCGGGGCCTTCATCTCCGGAGGAACATGTGCGTTAGGGCATCATCGTCTCCGGCTGAATCTTCTCCGGCTCAGATTGCTCCTCTCCAATTCGAGTCACCGATCGGGCAGTTTCTCTCCCAAATTCTGGTCAGCCACCCTCACCTGCTGCCTGCTGCTGTTGATCAGCAGCTCCTGCAGTTGCAGACCGATCGCGACGCAGAGAAGCAGAAGGAGGAGCCATCCACCTCGGGAACAGATTTAGTCTTGAATAGGTCTGTTCTTTGTTTCATTTTTCTGCCGCTTTTTGCCAACCGAAGTGAGAATGGAGTTACAATTTATACTTTTTTGTTGTCCAGGAGGATTGCTGAGGTTAAAGCTAATGAGCGGAAGAGGGCCCTGGAAGAGATCCTGTATACACTGGTTGTGCAGAAGTTCATGGACGCTGACGTTTCACTTGTGCCTGCTGTATCTCAGTTGTCTGATCCTTCCAAGGAAGATGACCAGCGGCTTCCTCAAGAAGATAAACTCCAGAAACTCCATTCATCTGAAGCTTATGAGATGATCCAGAACCACCTAGCCCTTATCTTGGGAAACCGCATCGAGAATGAGAACACCGTGGCGGTGATAAGCAAGCTACGGGTTGGTCAGGTCTACGCTGCATCCATCATGTATGGGTACTTCCTGAAGAGGGTGGACCAACGATTCCAGTTGGAGAAGACGATGAAGACACTTCCTTGGGGTTCAGAAAAAGATGAAGGTGCCATGAAGCAAGTGATGCCTGATGAATCCAGACCCTCAGTACGCGCTGGAAGTTCACATCCGGAGGTGCCCTTCCTGTCATCTTCTCCTGAATTCAGTTCGGCTGGATTCGGCCCGAAGACCAAATCTGCTCGGATGCGGTCCTATGTCATGTCGTTGGATCCTGAGACGCTGCAGAGTTATGCGACAATCAGATCAAAGGAAGCATTCAGCATTATTGAAAACCATACTGAGGCATTGTTTGGGAGGCCGGAAATTGTTATCACCCCACAGGGGACTATTGACTCATCAAAGGATGAGGCTCTTAAAATAACCTTTGCAGGTTTGAAGAGGCTGATTTTGGAAGCGGTTACATTTGGGTCTTTCTTGTGGGATGTAGAGAGTTATGTAGACGCTAGGTATCACTTTGTGACAAATTGATGCTGGGTGACGGGGGAATGTGTTTGCTTGTAAGGTGATAGTGAGGCTGAGAAAGTTTGTAAACTAAATTTCGGCCGCTAGTTCATCTGTATGTGAATAGTAGTAAGCTGACTTGGTGTGTTTTGAACTGCGGAGTGTATGAGCATCCTTTCATTTTTCAAACACTCTTATTCAAAGATTATGAAACAAATACATATCAGTTCCTGGTTATGTATGCTCAAGTTTCAACCAAAAAGATACCTACTCCCTGTTAGCCCCTTAACTCCAGTGAAAGATTATCTTGTTCTAACACTTTGCAGAAGGTCGATTGGCAATGCGTTGAAGTGCAGTGAATTTGTAGAACTTTGCCAAGTATTTATATCTTCAAAGATGGGATGTGTGTGGTGATAACAACTACATAAGGCAACGGCTGTTATCCCAGCATTTTTTTTGGTAAGTATTCTTTTTTCTACTTCAGCTAATAGGATAGGACGTCTTATGCTAGTTGTGAGGTGCCATCATCACCAACGTTGTCTTATCTCATCGTTCTCGAGTCAACTTAGGGTCGAGCAGTTTCTAGATGCCGGCTGGCGCTAGTTTGACTTTAACATCCCGATTAATAATCTTTTGCATATCTGGGTTTAATCGGTAGGCCTTTTGATATGAGGCCCAAGACTCCTAGTCAACTGCCGACTGGTAGGGAACGTAGGAATATTGTAAGAATACAACAAATAAATTTATCTATTCTAATTTAGCACAATGTAAACCAAAGTGGAAAATGGGTGGTATGTGAAGGAAAAAGGGTGTACAGAGGAGTAATAGGCTAAAGATCTGGTAAAGATTAGTCAATAATGATTAGAAAAACATACTGGTTTAGTTCAACAGAAATCTATAGGTTTTTTTTATGGTCAACCATACACTCTAGTCCGATAAGAAAGAAAAGCCATGGTTTTAATGATGTCCGAGAATCGTATCTGTTGATTGCAATTGTTCATTCTGATTTTTATTTTTTAAAAAAATAATATGTTCAATTCCACTTGTAGAGGACTATATGATGATTTTTCTTGCTTACTTCTCAAAATCATTCCTTTATGAGCATTCACCTATGTGGCTTGCATGATGAATTCTGTCTGGTGAAAATGCTTCTCTACAGTGCAAGAAACTTGAATGGGTGATGATGGCCCTGGTCGACATAGATTATTTCACCCGACTATATGTTAAATATAATTACATCGTTTGGTATGATCTCCTTTATGCAAGGAACCTTCCTTGTATGGTATGATCTCCTAACTCAGATTTTTACCGAAATTACATCGTTTGGGATAGCATGGAGTTTATTTTGGAAGCATTTGATGGGAATTCATCTATTTTTTTCTTGCTAGTTGGGTTTCTTTCCTGGGTAAGCCCAGAAATAGAAAAACCTGCCCTGATGCCCGTCTGCCTATCTCTTAGTGTCACGTGGCAGTGGGACCCACCTCAAGGGCTGTGGATGGCTGATGCTGGTGGACTGGCATCTGGATTCCTCAATCAGGAAACCTATTGGAGAGTCAAACTTAGGCATGTCTGCATGTTTATTTGACTGAGCTTTGGTCATCTGCGGAAAGAGTGGACTGTCTAGACGGCTGGAGGACTATTTTATTCCCCCGGAATATTCTTCATGGGAAGATCTTAAGGTACCTCTAACCTGTCATCTTTACAACAAAATTGATGACTGACAGGGGCACCCAAAATACCGTCTGTACAGTAATATCAAAACCTGCCCTTTTCAGGAAAACCAACAGTTGGGAGAGGTGCCAAGCTGGACAGGGCTCAGATGTGGGTCAACGGGGTTGGTCATATCGTGGGCAGCAAGAAAAGGGCCTCTTCTATTAATCTCTGCAAGACTGCAACCCTCGAAAGTTTATGATTCTTCCCAGGTTTAAACCCCTAGAGGTGCTAGTGTTTCTTTTATTATATGCTCGTAATTTTCATCACAAAAGAATTAATAATCGTATTATTTTTATTTTTATTTTTATTTTATTTTATTTTATTTTTATTTTATTTTTATTTTTATTTTATTTTTATTTTTATTTTATTTTTATTTTTATTTTTGTGTGTGCGTGTTTGTGTGTGTGTGTGTGTGAGAGAGAGAGAGAGTAGCTTTGCTTTTAAAAACTGCTAATTCTATCAATGGCTTATGTTCAATTGAAAAAAAAATAATGCGTTCATACTTAGTAAGTTACATTGGATCATATCACATGATGAAATTTACTAAAGAGTAAGAAACAAGTGGGTTTACCTTCAAAAGGTTCCAAGAGAGAGGATCACATGTTAAGGCCCATGGTGGGCCTGACCCATCTCCCCGAGCATAAATAACGGTTAGAGTGATGATAATCTTTCCCTGACCAGAATGGCCCATCTTCTCCTCATTTTTCTTTATGAGGAAATTTATCCTTGGGTTTCATTTCACAAATAATAGAAAATGCCAGAATATCCTCAGCATAAATAGGTATGGTGGGCCAAGTTCGCTCACAGGCCCACAAGGCTCGGCGCGTTTTGTCATCAAGTCAAGGTGACCAAAGAGAGCAAGCTAACGATATCTTATCAAATAAATACATTTCTATTTTAAATATGTAGTGTGTGTATATATATATATATATATTTATTAGACTGGACTAACAACGAAATGAAACAACTCTCTAACTCTCACATATTTCTCTCAAGAAGCTCACACTCTCCTCGTCCATCATTTATTATGTGCGCCCATTTGTCCATCAACTAGACAGATGATAACTCTCTAACTGATCATCATCAATGGTGCTGATTGATTCATTTTTTTTTGAAGTTTGGCGCACTACATGGTCTTCCCAATAAGTCACCCATCCTGGTACTACTATTATTTTTACGCAGTCATACTTAATGAGACCTGGTGTCACATAACACTCTGACAGAGCTAATGCCACATGGCACTTTTACAGAGCTGATGTCATATGACTTTTTAACAGAAATAGTGACACATGGCACTTTTTAATGAATTTAGTGCCACGTGGCACTTTGACCGAGCCGGTGCCACACATCACTTCAACTTGGGAATTTTCTGCTTGACTTTTGTGGTAACACATCAGAGGTTTGGTGGTGATTGATTGATTGATTGATCAAGCTTCAGCCATCAATTGGGTATGATACGAGCACATTAACTAGACTATCTTAATTAGATTATCATATAATTAAGTTAGTAATTAAGGGGCCTAATCTATGTATATCAGCCACGGGAGAAGATTCTTCAAAGAATCTTCCATCGTCATCATTCTCATGCAGTTATATAAATAATATGGGGAGGGGGGGAGACGTGCAAATAGTCAACCCTCCCCAAAACCGGGTGAGCTCGGGGACTGGTTGGCTGAGCTGGCGCCGGAAAAATCCTTGATAGAACAAAGCTCCCCTGCAGCACCGCCAGCCCCGGTGTTGTCTCGAGTGTCAACCCGGTTCATATCGATGTGTATAGAGAAGATGCGATTGTACATACTGTCGGCAGGAAGTAGTCCGTGAAAATGACAAGAATGAGCTGGCGAACGTGTCTGATGTCCGCGCTCGCAGACAGCATCCGTGCGCGTCGATACGCATCGTATGAGTAGTCCTCCTCCTGTCTCTCCACACCCATGTGCGTGCGCTGTCTCTTCCTTCCTCTCCGAAGTCTCTCTCTCTGTCTCTCTGTCTCCTGGTTTCCTCTTGGTCTGTTCATGGCAGAGTAGCTACAGGGCGCCGCCGAAATCGAAGTCTTTATCCCTGCTTCCATGGCCCGGTCTCAGCTGCTCCTCCATTAAAGGCTGGGCCGTACGGCTCCCAAAGTTTGAAGCTTCCCCCGGCCGCAGTCCTCCTCGTCAGCTATGGCGACCAGGAAGCCCACCGGCGGAGCTGGGCTCCTCCTCGGCGCCATCCTCGCCGTCGTCTTCCTCGCCGGGCTGGCGGCGACGCAGCAGACCTCCGCCGGGGACGCGGCGGCGATGCGGGCGGTGGCGCAGGGGCTCCTCGGGGCGGTGGAGTCTCTGGGCTGGTCCGTCGGTGGCAACCCCTGCGAGTGGCGGTTCGTCTCCTGCTCCGGCGGCCGCGTCACCGCCATCCAGATCGGCAACCGCAGCGTCGCCGGCGAGCTGTCGCCGGCGATCCGCAACCTGACGGCCCTCGTCAGGCTGGAGCTCCAGGACAACCGCATCGCTGGGCCCCTCCCCTCCCTCGCCGGTCTCGCCGCCCTGCAAATCCTCATCCTCCATGGCAACCTCTTCTCCTCCGTCCCCGTCGACCTCTTCTCCGGCCTCTCTGCCCTCCAGGCGGTGAACCTCGACGGCAACCCCTTCGCGCCGTGGGAGATCCCCCGCAGCCTCACTGACGCCGCCGCGCTGGTGAACTTCTCCGCCAACTCCGCCAACGTCTCCGGCGAGATTCCCGACTTCTTCCCCACCGCCTTCCCGGGGCTCTCCGTGATCGCCCTCTCCTTCAACCTCCTCCGCGGGGAGATCCCGGCGAGCTTTGCCGGGGCTGCATCCTTGCGGACCCTCTGGTTGAACAGCCAGCGGGGGACCCCCCGCCTCTCCGGCGCCGTCGCCGTCGTCGCCAACATGACCTCCCTCACCCAGCTATGGCTTCACTCCAACGAGTTCTCCGGGCCGCTGCCGGACTTCTCCGGCCTCGCCGCCATGGAAGACCTACAACTCCGGGACAATCGCTTCTCCGGCCCCGTCCCCTCCTCCCTCCTCTCCCTGCCGGCGCTGAAGAAGGTGACTTTGGCCAACAACCTCTTCCAGGGGCCCGTCCCCGTCTTCCCCGAGTCCATCGCTAACGAGGTCGACCTCGATCCGGGGAGGCAGAGCTTCTGCCGGCCGGTCCCCGGCGACTGCGATCCCCGAGTGACCGCCCTCCTGCTAATCGCCGGGTCCTTCGGGTGGCCGAGGAGCTTCGCCGAGGGGTGGAAGAAGAACGACCCCTGCGCGCGGTGGCCGGGGATCACCTGCTCCGGCGACGGCGAGGTCACCGTGGTCAGCTTGCGGAAGAGGGGCCTCAGCGGCTCCATCTCGCCGGAGTTCGCCCGGCTGAAATCTCTCCGGCGGATCTTGCTGGGCGGCAACAACATCACCGGGACGATCCCGGCTTCTCTGGCCGCTCTGCCGGCGCTGGAAGAGCTCGACGTTTCTGACAACCAGCTCTCCGGACGGGTGCCGGCGTTCCGCGCCAGGGTGCTGGTGACCACCGCCGGCAACCCTGGGATAGGGAACGATGGCGGCGGCGGCGCCGTCCCATCGTCTCGCGGTTCAAACGCCTCTGCCGCAGACGAAGGCGGCGCCGCCCCTTCGGCTGCCCGGGTTACCTCCCCTTCTACTCTGACGGGAGCCATAGCTGGGTCGCTCGCCGGTGGCGTCCTCGGCGTGGCCCTGTTCGGGCTTTTCTGCCTCTACAAGAGGAAGCACCGCCACTCAGGCCGGGTCGAGAGCCCCAGCGCCGCGGCGACGCTCCGCCGCCAGTCCGATATGCTCAAGCTTAGCCCCAGCGGCGATGGCGGTGGCGGAATGCTGATACCCATCGAGGTGCTCCGGGAGGTCACCGGCGGGTTCAGCGAGGAGCGCGTCCTCGGCAGAGGAGGCTTCGGGACGGTCTACCGGGGGGACCTCCCCGACGGGACGAAGGTCGCCGTTAAGAGGATGGAGGCGGCGGCGGCGGCGGTGGCGGGGTGCAAGGGGCTGAGGGAGTTCGCCGCCGAGATTGAGGTCCTCACCAGGGTCCGCCACCGGAACCTGGTCTCCCTCCTCGGCTACTGCCTCGACGGCGGCGAGCGGATCCTCGTCTACGAGTACATGCAGCAGGGAACCCTAGCCAAGCACCTCCTCCACTGGAAGGAGGAAGGGGTGGCGGCGCTCTGCTGGAAGCGGAGGGTCGCCATAGCCCTGGACGTGGCGAGAGGGGTGGAGTACCTCCACAGCCTGGCCCACCGGAGCTTCGTCCATAGAGACCTGAAGCCGTCCAACATCCTGCTCGGGGAGGACATGAAGGCGAAGGTGGCGGACTTCGGACTGGTGCGGCCGGCGGCGGCGGCGGCGGAGGAGACGCGGCTCGCCGGGACCTTCGGGTACCTCGCGCCGGAGTACGCCGCCACGGGGAGGGTGACCACGAAGGCGGACGTCTTCAGCTTCGGGGTGATCCTCATGGAGATGGTGACGGGGAGGAGGGCGCTGGACGAGAGCCGGCCGGAGGAGAACGCCCACCTGGTGGAGTGGTTCCGGCGGGTGATGCAGCGGCGGCGAGGGAGGAGGGTGGAGGAGCTGGTGGACCCGGCGATAGAGCTCGATGGGGAGACGGCGGCGGGGGTGGAGAGGGTCTGCGAGCTGGCCGGCCATTGTTGCTCGCACGAGCCCATGCAGAGGCCGGAGATGGGGCACGCCGTTAACGTGCTGTCATCACTGGCGGAGAGCTGGAGGCCGGTGGACTCCGACGGGGAAGAGACCTGCGGGATCGACCTCACCATGACGCTGCCGCAGGCGCTGATGAGGTGGCAGGCCTGCGAGGACGACGATGATGAGGACATCCCGCCGACCGTCCGCACCGGTGCAGATGACTACCAGTCCAGCGTGCCCACCGGGCCCGCGGGATTCGCCAACTCCACCTCCCCCGATGGAAGGTAGATCCTTCCGCCGGCTTTCCTCTCTCTCTCTCTCGCCTTCTCCTGTTCATACTACACACGTCCCTCTCTCTCTCTCTGGATCTCGCCGAGCGTCCCCTGAGACGGTCTCCTGTAACGACGTTATTACCTGTACAATATTCTGCTATGGAGCCTGCTCTCTCTCTCTCTCTCCTCATCGTCTTCAAGGTTACTTATGAAACACTGGAGGCCCTCTATAAGCCCACCATTCTCGACATCCTTCTCACTCATAGCAGATCAATAGACACCATCATTCAAGAAAAGCAAGGCGGTGGCGGAAGAAATGGCATCACAGTAATGCTCTGGTAGTTGATGTTGTGTTTAATAAAATAGACAAAGGCGTGTTAACTATGGAAGCTACATGAAATGGATACAAAGAACTCACCGCTAGTGGTTCCCAGGGAAGCTGTGTACTCAGACTACATGTTCTTGCGACGCTTCTCGACTTCTTCCATCTCCTGGATCTCCTTGTGGTACTTGCTGACCCGGTAAATGCACCTGCAGAGAGAGAGAGAGAGGGAGAGAGAGAGAGAGAGACTTATGACCTGCAGGCGTGCCTTTGATGAACTCCCCCAAGCATAGAAGAAACAATGAAGGGTACCAGTATAGTAGGCATGCAGAGACGCAGAGGATGACATTCCTTTGGGCCTTGAAGATCTGCAGGTGATCAAAGGCACATTATTCCTCCATAGCGCAAATTACTCGAATTTCATGAGCATCTGGTGCTATTTTTCAGACATATCTTCTCATTTCTTGGGATCCTCGATTTAATGGAGGAAAATGTGTGCATAAAAGTGCTGATTTCGTCCTCTGTATATAATTTTTTAATTTTCTGGTACGATGAAACTAAGAAAGGCGAGAACTTTTCTCTATATAGATACCCAACCAAGCCCAATTCCCATTAGGAACACAAGACTGCTGCACAGGGCAAAAGGCAAGAGCTGAGCTCTCCAAGGCTGTGTTTGGGAGTGTTGTATGCTACACTTGCACCGAAATATGCATTTGTTGGATAGAGGGCTTGCATATCAGGGCTTTTAAGACCAAATGGACACCTATTCAATTGGAAACATGCTAAAAGTTATTCAGATTCGACAGATGTTCCACCAAATCGAGGACTCAATTTGCATATGAATGTAGTCAGAGCCAATAATTTTATGCCAAGAGAAATTTGGTAATCAACACGCAAATGAGCAAATGGTAGTGGTCGGGAGTCCCCAGTGTTGCCCACTCAATATGCAGGTCTTCGAACAGCCAGGAATCGTAGCTCAAAGGAGAAGAACAACATGTCGTCCTAGATGCACTCAGCACAGCACAAATGTTCTTCTTGAGAAATAGTAAGTGAAAATAGCTTTGAGTAACGGATAAAATGACCTAAGAACGCATAAAAGGCTAGTAGAACTTCTTGTAAAAGCCCCCCTTTTTCAACTCTTAGTCACTAGGACGAAGTTAACAGTTGCCAATCTCTGACAACAGCTATTTCATTGGCATTGATACGTTATCTCAAAACACGATTAGAGGAATCTATCTGCATAACACGAATATATATCAAAACTACGTGACTAAGACAAACCTAAACCATTTTTAACCTTACGTTCCCTAACATCATGAATTTTACCTTAACTTATACAATGCATCTGAATCTTAAAGACAGGTTTAATAGACTGCGATCCAACCCTCGAATTCCAATTTATCATTACATCACTGAGACTTCTTTAGTGTAACATGTAGACAAAGCTACCTCATTGAACAGTTACCAGACAACAAAAACTTAGTAAATGCATTCTATTTGCTGGCCAAAGATGATGAATAACCTACTCTCTCTCCTAACCTCCAAATGTGCAATCATTCTGCCCTTATTCATCAGTAGCATGCATGCCAACTAATCATCTAATGAACACTAGTATGCCTCTCAAGGATCTTTATCATGGAACATATGTTTTTCATGCTTTCATAACTCCACGTAGATAAAAAATCTACACGGTTTCTATCTGGAGAAGTCAACAAGAACAATTACCTATATACACAACAACAAATCCACAAAATCAGCAGATTTGAACTTGGTAAGTAAATGGGCTGCTGTTTAGATGACCAGCTCAACTATAGTACAACAAAGGAAGGATCAAAGGAATTTAAATTCTTCTAACAGCATGGGATGGAGATATTGTCACAATTAATTAGCAACCCTAATGCTACTACCTAAGTGTTCTTTCTACTTCTCCGTTTACTGAAAGCAGAGCTTTTACATCTCTGACAGCCAGGTGTAACCTCATGAGAAACAATGCAGCATAAATAATTTTTTTCCACCCTCCTTTTCAGTTGAAAATGCAGAAGATGTGATAACTAGCACATCTAACTACAACGGCCCAGCCTTCCATGAGCAATCACGAGAGTCTGGCGAGCACTCAATCGTTATCATCCATCATCAGGTGAAAAATCATCAATAGGCGACAAAATAGGCCATGATGGTTAGGTCAGTGGAAAGGCATTGAAATCATATGGGAATAAATTACAGCAGGGGCTAGTTGACGACGAGGAAGAGCTCAAGGCGGAACTCAAATAACATGAAATGAGAAAACAAGGACTGGTGGTTGAATTTTGAATATACACAAATCCTCAACTAATAGCTATACTCATCGACGAATACAAAGAAAAAACCCTAGATCCCTGTTCTAGAAACCAAACATGCGTGTGGCCGAGATATAGTAAAGGAAGTAGAATTACAGCTTTTTCGTATCGGTCCCTCTCTGCTGCGGTGCAGACGTCAGACGTACACATCAGGCGGTGCTCGTTCTTCCAATAGATATCTGCAGGAAGATGCTCATAGATCTCAGCGAAGAAACAGACCCAAATAGACGAATAAACAGATTCACAAGAGATGGAAAAGAAAAACAAAATCAATCGTGATCCAGCGTCCAATACGAGGACGGAGGGGGACCGGCGTACCAAGGAGCTGGAAGCCCGCGAAGGGGACGATGCCGGTCGCTGGCTGCAGCAGCAGCGAGACCAGGGCAACGATCCGCGTCCTCAGAATCTTCGGCGCCGGGAGAGTCACGAGGAGGGCCACGGCGGCCTCCGCCGCCACGACGTACGCAAGGATCACCCACTGCAACGCCATCTCTCTCTCGCGTTCTCTCTCTCCCTCTCCCCTCTCTCTCTCTCTCCCCCCCCCCCCCAGACCGGCAACGTTCGTGCTTAAAGGTCCGGGGCGCTGGAAGTCGGTGAATGACACGTGTGCTTCACAGAAAATTGTTCTGAGAGCCACTTTGTAAGGAATTACGGATTTACCTACAAAAATCACATTTGCACGTAAACCCTTTATACGACAAAATATTGTAAAACATTATGGTTAGGGGTGATTCTCATGATTGGAGGATTTTACGGGGACTAAACTCAAATAGCGTAAAAAACTTTTATATTTGTAGAAGAGTTAACGTAAAAGCTTGTATCTTAGTAGGAAACTAATTTTACAATAAATGTTGTTCAATTTATTTTTTCAATAAAAATCAATTATTTTATTACCTCCAAAATTAGGAATTCAAGGAGCACAAATAATAAGACCTAGAAGCAGAAGCCGGGGGTCAAGCGGGGAATGTACACAGCGAGAGAGAGGGAAGGAGAGGGAGGGAGAGGGAGAGGGAGAGGGAGAGAGAGGGAGAGAGGGAAGGAGAGGGAAGGAGAGGGAGAGGGAGAGGGAGAGGGAGAGAGAGGGAAGGAGAGGGAGAGGGAGAGGGAGAGGGAGAGGGAGAGAGAGGGAGAGAGATAAATGGTATAATAACACTGAAACATTACATTTTGCTAAAATAAACGATACAATTCCAGAAAAGTAGTAGTAGCAATTATCACTATTATTACTATGATTATTATAAAAAAAGAGTGACTTGAGGTCCCAGCAGTGTTATCTTGGATGAAAGGCCTCTTTCTCTTCAGTAGGCTACACTTCAACGCAAGTCCAGAAAACCCGGGCCGGGTCAAGTTGAGTTCTCCAGCCCACCTGGTATACCCACGCCCCCATCAACAAGCTCCCATTCATGAGGCTAACTAAACCCTAATTTCTCATTCTAATCAAGATCCAGGGTGTTCTATGTTCTGTAGATGAGACCAGGGGAGGGGGAGAATCCTAAGCTACTGACCCGGGGAAAAGTGTTTCCATCTCAGGTGGAAGACGCGTAGAGGTCAATGGCAGAGGATTGAGAGCAGAAACCAGACCCAAAGGGCTTCTTTCTCCAGACTGCAACCAGATCCACGGCAGACCTTCCATTTTTGCATCTTTCTTATTTTGCAGACATCTGCCCAGCATCGTTGACCTCAAGGGCTCAGAGATTGGATTAGCTCTATGGTTTGTTAGGCTGGAAAGAAGAATCTTGTTATTTGAAGAAGAAATCATATCCTATTGGGCTACTCCAGAAGGGAGAGAGAGAGATAGAGAGATGAGAGAGCCCAGAATCTGCAGAAATGGTGAAGAAGATGAAGAAATCATATCCTCTTGGGCTACTCCTGGAGGGAGAGAGAGAGCCCAGAATCGGCAGAAATGGTGAAGAAGAAGAAGAAGAAATCATATCCTCTTGGACTACTCCTGAAGGGAGAGAGAGAGAGAGCCCAGAATCTGCGGAAATGGTGAAGAAGAAGAAGAAGAAGAAATCATATCCTCTTGGACTACTCCTGAAGGGAGAGAGAGAGAGAGTCCAGAATCTGCAGAAATGGCTAAGAAGACGAAGAAGAAATCATATCCTCTTGGGCTACTCAAAGGGAGAGAGAGAGAGAGAGAGAGAGAGAGAGAGGAGAGAACCCAGAAATGGTGAAGAACGGATTACCTTCTGGCGATTCGGGCAGTGATTGGTGTGAATCATGGGGGTTCTAGTTACTTGGGTGCGGATGGCCTCTGGCGAGAAACCATGGGGCTCGCCATGAGGGCTATCCTGAGGGACTCTGAAGAAGAGAAGCCTTGGACTTGCATTGTTCCATGGACTCTCTTCGCATCTTCATGGAATCCTCCCGCTATGAGCCCATCAATGACCATCTCGAACTGGTCTGCAGTCAGCAACTCCTTCTCAGCCTCCAGCCTCTTGAGCAGCTTCATGGCCTTGCCCTTGATCCCTGCCCTCGCATACATGCTGCAGAGGCTCACATTGACGCGGAAGGGGGCACCTCCCAGCTCCGAAATCTTCTCCAAAACCTGCTCCACCTCGTCCACCAAGAGCAACTTCCCCAGCCAGTCCACCAAAACAGTGTAAGTAGCTATTCCAGGCTTGAAGCCGTCCCTCTCCATGGTTAGAAGCAGATCCAAGGCCTTGTCCAGGAGATTCTTCTTCTCATATGCAGCAATCATGCTCCCCACACAGCGGTCATCCGGCTTGTGGCCCGCCTTCAGTATGAAGTCAAAGCTATGTCGGGCTTGATCAGGATCACCTGCATGCCCATAGGCTTCCAGAAGCAGCGTACACGCTTCTAGATCTGGCTGGATGCCGCTAAACTGCATGTTGTTGAACATTCTCTGGGCGGAATCTACGAGCCCCCGCTGGGCAAAGGCCTGCAGGAGGACTGTGTACATCTCCAGCGTGGGCTTTATGTCCCTTGCCTCCATTTCTCTTATCAAGGCCTCAGCCGCCTTGGGAAGGCCCGCATTCACATAGGCAACGATCATAGACCTGTAGGTCTTGAGGTCCGCCTGGAAACCCTGGCTCCTTAACCTCTCGAATGCCTCCTTTGCGCGCTCAAGAATGCCCGCATCGCAGTACATTTGAAGCAAGATGACCCAGACCCGGATGTCGGCATTGATGCCCTTCTCAGTCATCTTCTGAAGAACCCTTTCGGCATCTTTGACATTGTTGATCTTCGCATAAGCATCCATCAGCTTTGAGTAATCGCCGATCGCTGTTTCAAAGGACTCCTCGTCCAAGACTCGTTCGGCAACCTGTATAGGACATAGCCAATAATGCTCTTAATCAGGGCCCACAAGCTACACACTTGTCAGGGCATCAAAATTGATTAGCCAAGATCATTCATGAAGCATGAGAAGAATATGAGTCCTATCCCATCATTGTGCTTTACGATTCTTCTGAGGATTAGAACACGAGGCATTCAATTTGCAGGAAGAAATAAATAAACATGGTATTTTAAGCTAACAGAGAGAATTTCTGAAAAAAGTTTGGCATATGCAAGCTTGTTGAGAAAAATCTGGATTGAAGTAGCCTCAACGTAACCACAAGTAGCTGGACAGTGAGTACACATGAGCCCACAAATGGCACCTTCCACTGACATCACCATGCAAGAGAAGATCGGTTTTGGAAATTCTCAACAATACAAGGCCTAGGTGATGCTTGGAGCAGATAGAGTGGCCCACAAGCGCAATAAAACCAATGCAGCGTTATATAACTAAAAAGAATGGCTCAAAGAGGAATACACCAAGTGTGTCTCGTAGTGCGCAGCTGGTACAGAATCAATGAATCAGAGACCTTTTTTTCAAGAAGACAATTTCCAAGGAGACAAAATGCTACCATAAGAATTTGAATGATCTCAACAATAAATAAGTAAAAAGTGCACTGCTTATTTGTGGGCTTGTGAGGTCAAAGACTTCATGATCTTCTTAGAGGATCGCTTCTTAGAGGATTTGAATGGTCTCCACCAGGGGGCACTGGCCCTGTTGCTTTCTCCGATTAATGGCCCATTATAAGATGAATCCAGCTAGGGACAACAACCAAGGAATATTTCATGTCAAAATAGAGGGGACGCTTTTCAACTACTAGATTCATATGAAAAATATCCAATTCAAGCAACATACACGATTTCTCCTCCTGATTTTTATCTAATATTTATCTCTTATACATTTAATGGGAAGTAATCCATTCGCATGAAGTCAAACGCCAGATGGCTTTGCAAGATCAGCACCATCATTAAGGATCTTTCTTCGGGCTGAGTCGACCTTGATCAGTCACCGTGCTATCTTCTCTAACCATGGTGGTTACAAGAACTTCAGCAGACCCCCCTGAATCTTTATTTTTCGGGGAGATCTATGTCTAGGGTTAGAGGATCAGGAGGCTAACCTTGAAATACGCCGGGGGATTTTGTTGATGAATCCTGTCGAGAAGAGCAAGCCAATCCACCCTCTTTGGCTGCAGGAGCTCAACCCACTTTGCCAATAACAGAGATGGGTCCTCTTCCTCTTTCAAACTGAGGATCTCCTCAGTCACCAGCTTGCACTTCCCCATGATGGGCTGGGGCTCATCAGACGCATTAAGTTTCTCTGCGTCGTGGATCTTGTCCGCCACTTCCGCCCACTTCTGAGATGACAGATCGAGACCATGTATATTATACTTGATCTTCCCTCGTCTCTGTGGTAGGGCTGTCAGTGAAGGTCGTTTCTCCAATCTGTCTCCTTCGCCAAGGACATCACCGGCAGTCGTATTCTCGCCCTTCTCAATCTCTTCTGCCCGATGATGTTCTTGGCGGATGCGCTCCAGGTTTCTGTAGAAATCGAAATCCTCCAGCTTTTCGTGCGCCCACTTGAACCGAAGCTCTCGGAGCATACCGCCACGAATGCCAATCTCGGAGGCGAAGTGGCACATCTTCTTGACGTCGTCGCAGTGGAGGAACTGCTTCATCTCCTCCCTCCGGCGGGTCCTCCTCGTCTCCTCGAACGCTAACTTGCTAACCTCCCACACTGTCCTCCACAGATCGGGGCTGAGATCGATGGAAGGATCAGATGGCCCAACGGAAGGGAGAACTCCGCCGCCCTTCTCCATCTCAGAGACGACCTTCTGCGCAATGACGAGGAGCATCCCGTCGATAGTCTCCCTGCTGCTCTCTGGGTACGCGGAGGAGAGCTTTTCCCTCATCATCGAAACAAAGCGGGACAAAAACTCGTTCAGGGGGGCATCCTCCTCCTCCTCGAGTTCCTCTCTTCCCTCCTCTCCCGCTCCCTCAACGGGGAGCCCGACGGCAAGATCGGTCGGGAGGACTCCCGGGGATTCCTGGGAGGTGGCATAGGTTCTCCGGGAGGGCCAGAATGCGGCAGCCCTCGAGACAGCAGTGTGATTAGGGGTCTGGTGGGTGTCGAAGGGGAGAGCTCCCCGGGGCAGAGGGTCCGCAGGGGCGACGCTGGGAAGCGCAGGAGCGGCCGCCCTTCCGGGGATCCGAGATGACGTCAGGAGAGCGCGCCTGGCGAGGACGCTTCTCATGGCTGCCACCAACTGGTTTCCTCTTCGCCACTGCCCCTTAAAACCCTAGAAAGCAGACGGAGGGGAGAGAGAGACTACGTGCCGGCATTCGGAGACTGGAATGAGTTTCTGCAGCAGCTCTTATATTGATACATATCGATGGGCACTGAATAATCCCCGCGATGTGATAGAATAGGGGAACATAATCCTCTTCCCGTTCCCATATCTTAAAACCCATCTTGAAGCCATTTACAGTCCCCTGCGGGCCGGGCCGGGCCCGGCACCCCCAGTCAGGCCTTCAATCATTAGAATCCAAAATCCGGCCCAGAGCTGTAGAAAAGCCTGTGAAATGGGATCCGGGCTGGAGCCCCTTGAAAAACTTGGGCCCGGCCCGGACGTCAACTATAAGACCTAAACCCCCCAACACGAGACGATAAATAGCTTTTTATGTCTAATATACGTCACGAAATCTCGTGATGAAAATATTTATTTGATATTTAATTTTATATTTATAAATAATTATACTTTCATTCTTTAAAATACTAAATTTGGCTATAAGTAGCGGCGCAAATCGGAGGCAGTTCTTATTCTCTGTCGTCTGTAAGTGGAAGAGGGGGGACGGGTGGGGATCCATTCTCAGAAATCCTTCCAGGAATGAGTAGAGAAACGTACAGAGAGAGTGAGAAGACATTGACAGATCTTCTGGGAATGGAAAGGAACAGAATGGCTTCCAAGTGAGGTGGGGTGAGGTGGTGGGGGGGTGGTTATCCCACCTTGGTCGCCGTCGTTGTCGTGTGCCGCAGGACGGTTGTGCCGCAGGCTGCGCAGAGGAAGAGCGGCGGGACGGCGGCGCCCTCGGCTATGCCGGCGCACCTCGTATGCTGCCACACCTCGCAGATGTCGCAGGCCACCATCCTCTCCCCGTCGTCGTCCCTCGCGCCGCAGACGCACCTCACCTTCCAGCTCTCCGCCCCGCCCTCGTACAGCAGCAGCGTCTGCGGCCGCTCTGTCTTGGGGCCATCTCGGATGTCGTCTTCTTCCTCCTCCTCCTCCTCCTCCGCCGCCGCCGCCGCTGCCGCCATGGAAACGCCGTGGCCCCTCACCCACACGCGCGCCCCCGACTCCGCCCCGCAGCCGAACAGAGGATCGCCGTCCTCCCCCGCCACGCCCACCACCGCCGTCGCTCGGAAGGTCTCCATGATGCAGTAGGTGTCCCTCATGGCCTTCTCCGCCTCCTCCCGCAGGTCCCCCACAGTGGCGTGGGGCGGCAGCACCAACACCTCCGGCGGGGGGAGGGGCCTCGTGAGGCGGCCTCCGGCGAGCTCCCCCTCGCTCGGCATCCATCCGCAGAGGAACCTCAGTCGGTCGTCCTCCTCGTCCCTCAGATCCCAGGACTTGCCCCAGCGCTTGCAGTGGAGCGCCATCTCCGCCGCCTCCGGCCTGATCCCTAGCAGCACGTGCCTGTACACCCACGCGATGTCCCTCTCCACCAGGTGCCGGGAGAATTGCTCCGGCGGCGGCTCGATCGGCGCGGGACTGGGATCGGCCTCTCCTCGCTCGCTGGGGAGATCCTCGAGGGAGAATTCCAGCACTCTGGTGGCGGGATTGTGGCTTCGGCGGACGACGCGGCCTCCGACGACGCAGTCGCCGATGGACTTGAGGACGAAGTCGAGCAGCCCCGTGTCGCCGATGGTCAGCCGGGCGGCGTCGCGCACCTCTTGGCGGGTCATCCCCCCCGGACGCTGCTCCAAGGCGTCGACGATGACCTGCGCCGCCACCTTCAGTCTCCTCACCGGCCACCGGCTGTCGAGGTCCTCCGCCACAGTGTCGAAATCCCGGCTCCGCCGGCGCTTCTGAGGGGATACCAGAGCCCTCCCTCTGGCGACCGCCGGAAGGAAGGGAAACATGGGGAGGCTCTCCAATGGCGGCGACGAGTTCCTGGCTTTCTTCTCCGGCCGCCCCGCCGAGGCGGCGGCGGCTGCGGCGGTCCTCCGGGACCGGAAGTCGAGGAGGAAGCGGAGGAGGTCACTGACTGATTGAAGCCGTTGGGGCCCGCACGGCCTGGCCTTGGCGATCCGACGGTAGCCAAGGACGATGCGGTGGAGTCTGTCTCCCTCCCGTCCGATTCTCTGGAATTCTTCCATCAAACGGTCCAGATTGAGTGATCCAAGGAGGTCCACCGATCTCTGGTAGTCCTTCTGCGCCGTCCCGAAGCTGCCGGTTCGCAGCGTATAGCCCCACCGGCCGAACCAGGTGGTGCCGTGGGCCACCCCCAGGAGCAGCCTGAGGTCCATCGATCTCCATCGTGATGAATCCTCCACCGTTATTTCCCTGTACCCCAAAAATATTTATTTTACCGCCAAATTTCTGATTACTGAAAATTATCGATTCCTCCTGTCTTTCTCAGGAATTGCAGAGGAATCGCATCTGGTCCTGGTGGTTAGCGAAACGTTTGAATATGATGGTGGGAAAGTGTAAGGAGGAAAGTTTTTAGGGTGCTAAATGAAAAATGGGAATCGTACCGCACGCGGAGTGCGGTGCAGAGGCGGTCCCAGAGGTCCATGACGTCGCGGCCGGCGACGAAGTGGGAGCCGCCGTCGCGGCCATTGAGGCGGAGGAGGTGGCCGAAGCCGTTGCAGTGGACGAGGCCGTGGAGGATGTGAGTCTGCTGCTCGAAGGCGTCGGGCCGCAGCGAGGTCCGGTCCCAGTCGTCGTCGGAGGGGATGATCAGATGGTAGCGCCGTCTGGACACGAAGTGGTGGCTCCATCCTGCCGCCATGGTCGCCACCGTTGGAGTTCACGTCAGAACCGATGATATTGGGATTTCAGAAGAACAGGATCGACACCATCCATGGAGAGGACAGGTGGGGGCGTGAGAGGAACACCCTAGAGAGGTTCCCTCGAAACAGCAAGAAGCTCTAACCCGTCCTTGTATACGAAGGATGATGGTAGAAACCCTAACCAGTTTCTTGCCTTGATTCAACAGCAAGGGAGGCAAAAGAAAAGGAAAGTTCGGCTCACCAGCGCAGCGGCAGTGATCGCACAAGGGGTGGGATGAGAGGGAGACGTGCTCCTCGACGACGTAGAACGGGATGACGGCGCCGGTCTTCTCGTCTACAAGCAGCGTGCACCAAGTTGTCGTCCCCCTCAAGCTGTGGCCTTCAATCTCGGCGCACTCCCGGATGAAGGCGCGGATGTTGTCGCGAAAAGCGCCGCAGAAGTCCACCGGGCACCCCGGATCGGCAAAGGTACGAAGGCCGTAGACCCTAGGCCTCCGCCTTCCCACAGCGTGGAGATCGGCGGAGATCATCTTCCCCGCCGGCCGAGACTCCCACCTCTCCCATGATTGCTGCATTGGGAAATGGAAAACCGAGCAGAGGACGGCGGCGCTCTCGCCGCCTCCTGCTCCCTCGCGTTCTCTCGCCGCCGTTGATCCCGCAGGTGGCTGTAAATTGGAGCTCTCAGGTCGAGAGAGAGAGAGAGAGAGAATTACATAGAGCGAACCAGAGAGAGGAGAGATTGACGAGCTTCTTCCAGATGAGCGAGAGAGCGAGCCAGGAGATGGACTAACTTCTTCTTGCTCTTCAGCTCAGGGGGGAGGTCAATCTAACGACCTCATCAGTTTGTTTCAGTTAGTTTAAACCAGTTGCAAGGCGGCGGCTGCGCAACTCCACATCTCCTCTCCGTCCACTGGCGGCCGAGTTCTGGTTCTTCTTACACCGGACAGCCATTTTGACTCGGACGACTCGGCGGAAGAACGCTTTAGCTTCCCGGTGGAGTCCCGATTCGGCCTTCCGCTCCGGTCTCGGGTCGCAGCTGGCGGCAGCCAGCGGCACGGCGTCAACTCCAAACAGGAAGACATCTCCAGGCCCCCACAGGGCGGCGGGCACCGCTTCCTCCTCCGGTGAGCTTGCTGCCACTTAAACTCTTCATTCTCCCCTGCTCCGTCCTCCCTCGAAGGTGCTTCACACTGTGTGGGAACAACTCCATCAGATTCATGGCTCCGCCATCTGCAGGGGGAAGCATTTGAAGGGTGTTCATTGCCGTGAGAAGCAGGTTCTCTTTCCATGGAGAGCTCGCCGCCCGATCGAGGACTCTGCGGCATCTACTGCGGTCTTGCCCTGGTGAGTGGGAATTGTGGTTTCACAGCTAGGATTCTGATGTCTATCTCCACGCTAGATTTTTCCTTCATGCGCCATAGATTACGTGGAAGAGAACAAATAAAGGCTGGAGAATCCAGCCTTCCTCTCCCATCTAGATCTGAGGTTATAATTTGAAAGAGAGATTGAGTAACTAGTAAAAAAATTCTTGTCATGGCTAGGGATGTTTGTGGGTCAGCTTGTTAGTAGGAGCATGAGTGATAATTCTCTGATCTAGTAATTGAGATTTTATTTTTTATTTTCGTATAATTTATCCTAGTCATATGAGTTGATTTTAAACAAAAGATATAATTATTTTAGTGTACTGCGGGTAAGTCAAGGAGTTCTTTTCTGTTTCTCTCATATTGCTTCTTCTTTTCGTTTGTACGATTGAGGATCATTTGGTCTTTCTCTTCACTTTCTTTCTTTCTTTCTTTTTCATTTGACCAGGATCTTCTAGTATTCCTCTTCTTCTCTCCTTCACATCGTTCTTCATAATCAATAAGGGTGGGTTAAATTGATCTTAGCCTTTTTTCTTTCTTTCTAAATCATTCACTATGGGATGTACGAGATTTAAACTAGGGATCAGCTTCTCTCTTTTTTGACACACTATTTTATGACTCATATGGATTTATAGTGGTTCGGCACACTACCTTTGTCCACTCTTGGGTTCTACTATCTCATACGGTTTGATAAATGAATATTTGATATCAGCCTAATGAACCCTAATTAAATGCATGTAACTTAGTTATATTCTATGTCATCTGCAATATGATTTAAAAGTTGAATTATATGTAATTAATTATTTTCCGTCAATTGCTCACTAGTTCTATGTTTAAATGCTGATTATAATGTATTTGACTCCATGATTGTATCAAACCTTACATACTACACATATCTTGATTCTAGATTATTGGATTTTAGTTTGATGTCTAAATTCCAATGAAGAAAAATGACCTTCTATGTTTTTTGTTGATTTTTATCGTTAAAAATGTTTCACTATCTTATTTTCCTTTAAAAAATATTAATAATAGAATATTGGTTATAAATTTCATAATAAATTAGACTCATGGAAACATTCTTCATTATTTCCTAAGATAATCTTTTTACAACTTCCCTAGGTGAAAAATATCAACACCTAGCCATAGACTGTAAACCTTAAAACCTAAGTCTTATTATGAAATCGTGATTTTAAGATAGACCATGCATAATTAGTAATGAACTTTATAACTTGAGAAAACAACCACTAATCTTAAGTACACTTGAAAGCATGAACCATTTTGCACCATTTTGAATTAGGAAAACGTTTAGATTTAGGGAAGGCTACCATATTAAATCAACATTTTTAAAGGTTAGAATATTAAAATAATACCTTAAAAATAAAATAAAATAAAATACTTCCATAATCATCTTTTACCCACCCACGCATAAGCTTAAGGCACATATTAGATTTAGTCAACTTGTTGTTTAATTTTATTTACTGATCATAAATAACTAAAAAGAATAATCCACAAAGAGATTGAAAAGGATATAATTTAGAATCATAATAGAATTGACTCAAGCCCTACACAAGTAGACTCATAGGTAGACTCATGTGAGTAGAGTCATTGAATCAACATTACTATCACATGATCACAAATGAGGAGAAAGAGTCCCCATAAATGATTTAGAATCATAAATAATTATTATCATTTTCTATTTTGGAATGTACTATAAAGAAATTTAGTGTAGATAATGTCTTAATTATTTGAGTGCTAACATGTCTAAGTATTCTATCACAAAAATCTAGTTCATGTCAGTTGTGGTTAGTTATAAGGTATGCATTATTATTTATAATCTCATTCACAATAATGATGTAACCATTTAAAATTAATTTAATTATTATTATTATTTTTTGTGGTATTTGAAGAAATCAACCAATAGCTAATTTATAATTTTACTTACAATTTATTATTACATAATTAATTGGTTGGTCTTAATCAAGTTATATTTTAATTATTCTATAAATAAAATATTGTTAACTAATATATCATCTACAATATTAATGTTTCAATACTATATGATTCTTTATCTTTGTTGTTTGCAAGGATAACTTTACCTCCACCTATTGGGTTCAATGAAGAAAACTATTTCTTTTCTCTAGTCATGTCCTGATTGTTAGCCATCCAATTGTCACCTTGATGTGGTCAAGTTATATTCATTTCGTTTAAATTTTAGAGCCTTTGGTATCTTAAATTGAGTTTTTTTCTTTATATTAGATTATATCTTTTAAAACTCTTTAGATACTAAAGCAATACCTTCATCTTCTTCAAAGCTAGACTTAACTATTATTCTATATTGCTTAGAGGCTGTAGCTTTCATTTTCTTTTCTATTTCAAGTTTTCCCCAAATAAATCTATTTCATAAGTTAGTAAAGATCTCATTAATTCATAAAATGATACTTTATTTATATCCTTTCATTCTTCTATGCTAGTGAGCTTGGGTTTCAAGCACTAAGTTAATGATTTGAATATATTTTTATTTTATTCAGTATTTATGTAATTTTTTATTGAGCTTTTTAATATATTTTAAAATCATTAAATGAGTAAATATACCATTGATAAACTCATTTCTATTCTTTTTAAATGACTCATACTTTTGTACCAAAATGTTTATTTTGATATTATAGACTTGAGAAGTCCTCCTAACTTCAAGTTTATCTTGAATTTCTTTATATCTCACAACTCAAAATTTTATTTAATTTCCTAGAATCTAAGCCACATAATAACATGTTTATAGCCTTTGCACCTAATATAGTACTCTCTTCTCTTTGAAGAGATGTGTCAATATGCTCGTTTTAAGGAATCCAAGAGATATTTTCAAAGGCCTTACGTGCACTAAAATTGGTTGCTTTAATGAATATCTTCACACTAGTCTTTCAATATGTATAGTTTGATTCATTGAATATTGGAGGCCATTGAATAGAATCCCCTTCATCAAATGAGCTTCCTAAAGAGTTTCATGGATTTACTTAGTAATTTGTTTAAATCTTTGGTAAGATAGGCTTGTATATCATATATCTATTTTTTTGTCTCCTAGGTTTTGGTTTTACATACATTGACCTATGGGCAACACAATTTATTTCTTTTAAAGTGAGTCAATACAAACTTTAGTGTTAATACATGTCCATTCTCTTTGCTACATAAATATCTTTCTCTACAATCAATTGAAAGGAGATGTTAAGAAATAAAAATGTGAAATAAATAAAACCAAAAGTATGCCTAACTCAAGGCAAAAGAAAGTTGTGTATTAATTTTTCTAAAATATGTTTCAATGCCAAAGAAATATTTTATTTTGTGAATTTCATATTTTTATAAAAACTTCTTGTTAGTGTTTGATAAGTCTTCATTATCATGAGTTAATAATTAATAATTAATATAATTTTAGCTTGAACTCATGATAAATATACTTATATTTATGTTAATTTATAAAGAGTAGTTTTAAGCTGGTTAATGTGATTTTTTGGCTAATTATGTGATTTCATATGATTTTATATGATTTTTATAATCTTATTTTTGAGATAAATAGAAAAAAAAGAAAAAAGAAAAGAAAAAGAGAGGACTCATCGACCACTCGAGCCCGCAAGCAAGTTGGAAGTGCAGTCGAGGGGGAGCTCGCCACTCGCCTTCCATGTCACTGGTGGGTAGCAAGTTGTGGGGCAAGTTGTGATCGTATAAGTGAAAGAATGAGACTCATTGCTCCAGATGCAATCAAGATCCTACTCTTGTTACACGGACTTGAAGATGAGGCTCCTTGACACGTGCCTCACCTCTATCTAATTCTTCTTCATCAGGTGATAGCTGCTAGAGAGCCACAAAATTATTATTTTTCTACTCCATCGGATGATAGTCGTTGAAGACGATTCAACGACTCATTTTATTGATCTCTAGATTTTGCAAGAAGATCTAGAGATTGCTCACATCGTCCTTGTCTAAGGAGAGTCTTTAAGCCCGTGAACACTACATGATATTTTTTTTGAATGCTTAGTATTTTGTTGTATTGTCGATGTATTGTCACTGCGACGCTGAAACTCTATTTTCTTACTTTTAACTTAATTTTCACTTCATTTAGTGATAATTTATGTGATTTAAATTTATTAAACTATTCTTCATTTAATTATGATTCTTTTGACTTTTACAAATCTTAATTTGATCAATTAAATTGTCTAGATTTACTTACAAAAGAATTTTCAAGTAGAACTTTATTTCTATTCAATTTGCGTTCGTCAGGTGCTAATGTCATCATGACGTCCGCACTTTATTTTCTTTTTTTATAAATTTTAAAAATATTTTATTTTCATTTCTTTATCTAAAATTTATAACAAATCGTATTCTTTGAGGAAAAAATTTAAAACTTATCTGATATTATAATACATCTCTATGGTCGATTTGGAAATTTTTTATTATTTTTGAAAATTTTATTAAATTATAATTAATAGATTTATTTAAAAATATTCCCAAATATTATAACGACTAATTTTAAATTTACGTGATTTACTATACAACGACTAAGTTACTTCAGCGTGTCTACCTAATTTCTCACCCCTTCTTGTGATAGTTTTAAAAACATGAACAAGTAAAGAGTCACCTTGGAAAGGCATGGAGGAGCTTAGTAGTAGAAAAGATAACAAATGAAGGGGCTTACTAATAATAAAGACAAGGCATGGATTGATGAATGAAAGAGCCTGATCTTATTGAGCTTGGTGTGTCAACCCACCCAAAAGGGTGGAGGCACCACATCTTGAGTTGACCTCTTATTGTTTAAATAAGCACATTGTTTCCATCTATGCATTACCATTTTGAGTAGCTTTAGAACCTTATTATTTTATTTCTTTCCATTGAGAGCCATACAAATCTTAGCTCAACTTCTCAAGCACTAGTTTTTGCATTCAAAATCTTATATTGGAGGATGTCAAAAAACCCTTAGCTCAAAAATGAAGCCATGAATTCTTTTAGCATTTAGAGTCTCATCAATCAAAATCTTGACTAGTGGACATTGAAAAGCCTTGAGCTCCAACCTGAAGCCTTGAACCCATATAGCATTCACATATCTACTAAATCTATGGCATGATGCTTCACCACCCTATCATAGCTCCCCTATCCAATTCTCTTCACTTACACTTGGAATCGCCCAACCCAACCACTCCTCTACAACTTCTCATCCTCCTACACAATTATCATCTACTAATATAGTGCTACTAACATTACAAAGCATTATTGGTTTGCCTCATACCCACTCAGCCCAATATGGTAAAGCCAATCCTTTGGCCTAATAGCAACACATAGGCCAAAAACTACTCTCATGTCACTGCCTATTTCCTCTTTCCCAATGCTAGTTCCTCATGTAGGCCCATATCAACAAGAGGCTCAAAATAACATTCACACACAACTATTTCTCATCTTGAAATATTGTATGTTTAAGATCCTTTACTTTAATCATTAACTTCTTTCAAATAAAATCATTTACCTCCCATTCCTTTATTTGCAAGTCATTAATTTAAATTTTCTTAATGAAACTTTGTGATGAACCCACTTATTTATCATTTGTCTTTGTATATAATGAGATATTTCCAAACAAGATTGTTAGTCAATCTCTAACATTCAATGCATAACTCTTCCCCTTGTGAATGATATACCATTTTCTTAATTTTCTCAAATCTCTAACATTTGAATTAACCTATTAAAATTTTACTATTTAATAGTATAAGAGTATTGAAATACATGATACTTTGATGATAATAAACTAGTTTAAAGATCAATCGAAAGATCGAATAAAGAATATTCAAATATATCTCAAAATATTATTAGTAAAAGTTTATATGAGAACTTAACAAACTTAACAAGTATATTCGTGACCCATGATGCTAAACTACTTAATTTGACTAATTTTAACATGAAAAACTATTATTTTTTATATTATTGTGAAAATTACTAATATCTATATAAATTTCTATAGTAAGAAAAAAGATGATAAAGTCAGTCAAATCAATATGATTTTGTGAAGTAATATATGGGTATTAAAGTTTACTTAGTTGTGTATAAACCTATGATTTTATATCATAAGTTATGAAAGGTTTTGACCTCAAATTAACAATGTATTTAGTTTTTATATTTATAACAAATATGATTTTCTAAGTAGTACTGAATATATAATATTTAAGTATATCTCAAAATATATGCATGATGAGACATCGAACATATAATGTTCAAATATGTCTCAAAATAATATGAGTAAAAGTCTAGATAGGAACTTAACAAGAAGTATATTTGTGACCCATGATGCTAAACTAGTTAACTTGACTAATTTTAACATGAAAACTATTATTTTTATATTATTGTGAAAATTACTAATATTTGCATAAATTACCATAGTAAGAAAAAAGTTGATATAGTCAGTCAAAGTAACAAAATTTAATGAAGTAAAAATATGGGTATGAAATTTTACATAGTTGTGTATAAACCTATGATTTCATAACATACTTTTTGAAAAATATTGGCCTCTAATTAATAGTGTATTTAGATTGTATATTTATGACAAATCTGATTTTCTAAATAGTATCTAATATATAGTGAAAATCATATTTATTTGGTGAATCATTAAGGTTATGATTTTATATACTATGACCATTGATTAAAAATATTTTCTCAAACATCAATTTTTTTGGGGATGATCAATATTGAGTGACTTATCATGGTTTTAATGAGACATGATTTTATTAGATCAACTCTCATGTTATTACCTCAAGGAATCACATTTAGATATGATTTAGATATGAACATTAATGGTGAGTTTTGGATTAACTCTAAAATAGAAAATATAATTTTGATGATTTAAGATATTAACTTGATTATCTTGAAATTGATGATATTTGATGTGACTTGAATATATGATTGATGTGATAAATATATTGATGTTTAAATTACTTGGATAATGATTGGAGATGTGGATTATATGACCTAAATTATGTCATAGATATGACTCTTAGACGAACTAGAAATAGTGATAATAAAAAGTTTGTGCGAGGTAAAGATACAATCATTTCACATGTAGATATTAATATTTAAATTATTTTATCAAATGGCTTTAACAATGTAGACATCTTATTAATCAATAAGGAAGTCTTTGAAAAAGGAGTCGTGATAAATACATTTCATAGAGAATTATTGAAGAGTTGATTTGATATTAATTTTACAAGACTACTAGTATCATATATTCATGTAGGGGCATAATGGTTTATTAGCATGACCTTTTATACTAAATTAATTTTTATCTCATAAAATACGACATATATAAACATACAACTATTCAATGGAAAGCTGATTTAAAGAGAAATTCAAGGCTGAAACTATTCCTAAGTATTCGAAGTATTAAGAGAGTTATGAATTTTTCATTATTTATGGTTATTGTTTTCTATACTTTTCAAGATCCGCATGTGGCTTGTTAAGGCCTGTTTTAGCTCGACCGTCTGACCTAATGAGGGGAAAGAAGGGGTGACCCACCCTACCTATAAATAAAATACTTTGTCCATATTATAGGGTAAGAGAAAATACAAGATTTTAGGTGATGTATGTTGTTCTAAATACAACCCTTCTTCTTATTCACCTACCTTCAGCTCTCCAAAGTTCAAGGATGTGATACATCGATTTAAAGAAGCTTTGGACACCTCTCTAACAACTCAAAAGTTTTCTCCTTTAACCTAATAATAAGTATTTATTATCATGAGTTAATAATTAGTAAATAATATAGTTTTAGCCTTAACTCATGATAAATAGACTTATATTTATGTTAAAGTATGAAAAATGCTTTTCAGTTGATTAATGTGAATTTTTAGGTAATTATGTGATTTTATACGAATTTATATGATTTTTACAATCTTATGTTTGAGATAAATGAAGAAAAAGAAATAAAAATAAAAATATAACAAAATGAGGGGGACTCGCCGGCCAGCAAGGCCTGCAAGCGGGTCAGAAGCATAGTCAGGGAGGAGCTGTGAGTAGGGGCTTGAGCGGCTAGGACCGATAGGGGCACGTGTGTGCCACTCCCCTTCCACGTCACCGGTGGCCAGTTGGTTGTGGGGCAAGGAGTGGTCGTACATGCACGAGAAAGAGACTTGATTGCAAATATAATATTACTATATATTCGCCAGAAACTTCGGCGCACAAGCGATGTGCGACTAAACTCGCATCACACCTTTCCCAAAGGGTGGGCAACCGGCGCGGGTTCGAATCCTCCTAGAGCCAAAACTCATATTTTTTATCTGATTATTGCAACTTTCTTGCAGATCGCCGATGAAGGATTAAGCCACCAGAATCGTTGGATCATCGGCAAAAATCTCGTCAACGTGATTCACGGAGCATTATGACTAAAATTACTGAACGATTCATGATAAAAAGATCGCAAATCCATTGAGTAAAGTATCTCCGATTGATCGACGAACAAGCCGTCGTCAAGAAGAGGACGATCTGTCGGGAGACGAGTCACCACCTCTTGAGAGAGTACTGGATGCGATGAAGAGCCTCTTCTTGCTACGCGGACTTGAGAATGAAGCTCCCGACACGTGCCCCACTTCCATCCAGCTCCTCTCTGTCGGGTGACAGCCGTCGGAGAGTTGCAAAGTCGCTGTTTTTCCGCTCCGCTGGGTGACAGCTGCTGGAGACAATTTGACGACCCATTTCATTGATCTCTAGACTTCGCAAGGAGATCTAGAGATTGCCCACGTTGTCCTTGTCCAAGGAGAACTTTCGAGGCCGTGGACACTATACGACGATCCTCCCGAACGCTTAGGATTCCGGTGCATTGCCGACACATCGCCGCCGCGATGCCGGAACTCTGTTTTCTTATTTTCAACTTAATTTTCATTTCATTTAGTGATAATTTGTGTGATTTAAATTTACCAAGATATACTTTATTCCGTTATGATTCTTCTATCTTTTACAGATCTTAATTTGATAAATTAAATCATTTGTAATCACTTACGTAAGAATCGCTGGGCAGAACTCTGTTTCCGCTCAATTCGCGTTTGTCAGGCGCTGATGTCATCCTGACATCTGCACCCTTACTTTCCTTTTTTGTGAATTTTAAATATATTTCATTTTATTTCTTAGTGTAAAATTCATAGAAAATAGTATTCTTTGACAAAAATTCTGAATAATTACCAGATATTATATTACATCCCTATGATCGACTTGGAAAATTATTACTATTTTTTGAAGTTTTATTAAATTATAATTGATATATTTGTTCATAAATACTTCTAAATATCTGAAAATTCATATTTTCTAGTTTTATAAATTTTAAATTTACATGATTTACTATACAACGACTAAGTCACATCACCTAACATCCTCAAACATTTTTTAACAACTTCAACAACTCATGGTGAACACAATAGAATAATTGAAAGTTGTGGCAAACTCGTTCCTCATTACATTTTGTGATTGTGAACTGTTGTGGTATATGTGAATTGGTTGAGACACATGGTTTGTTGAAGTACTTGTGGTGTGCTTGCAACAAGGAGACCTAAGGACCTAGGAACTCTAGGGTTAGAGTACTTGGTTTGTTAGTCACATGCTCTTAGAGCCTGAGAATGTAAAGGGTCATTAATTCTCTTAAATTATGGGTGTATTCAGAGGAAGAATAGTGGAATCAAGGTGAAGTCCTCGAAAGTGGATGTAGGTTAAAGGAGTTGACCAAACCATTCAATAAACTAGTGTCAATTGTCTTCTATTGGGTTGCTTCTTTATATTAATATAGAGATATAAATGATATACTATTAGGAAAATTAAAAGTCAATTCACCCCCTCTCTTGAATTATTCAGTCATATAGGGATCTACATTGGTATTAAAGCTTATCTTAAATTTAGATTGTCTAAAATCTTGAGTAGATCAAATGGCCATGAACTCATACTTAGCTCCCAATGGTCAATCCATAGTTAGACCCTGATGGCGAGCAAGACCCGTCTCTATCAGCTCAGGAGACACCGACAGTCCGAGTTCAGCCCGATCGACGCGCGAAGACAAAGGAGCCTAGCTTTCACTATACAATCTAGCCCTTTGGGACAACGACATTCCACCTCTGCGACCTATGTTAGCGGGCCCAATTCTATATGTTGGGCCTCGCATTTGTGTGTTAGCGGGCCCAATTCTATATGTGTGTGTTGTTGTTTGTGTCTCCCTTTCTTTAGGGTTTTATTGGGTCTCTCTCTTGAGGCCCAATTAAAACCCTAAGGGGGGGGGACCTATGTTTCTTTCCTTTTGGGCCTCTTTTGGGGCTTATTTGGGTCTTCATTTGAGGCCCACTTAAGCACCGTACGAGGGCCCTCCTCTTTCTCCTTTTAGGGGAGCTTATTGGGTCTCTCTTTTAGAGGCCCAATAAGCCCCTTTTGTAGCCTTTTTGTGGCTTATGGGCTTGAGGGCCTCAAGTGGGCCCACCTCCCCTTAGCCCACTTATGGGCCCTATATAAGGGGAGGTAGGACCCCCCCTCAACCCTAAGTGCCGAATTTTGTGAGAGATTATCGTTTGTGAGTTACCTTCTTCGTGACCTAGGGTAGGGAGGGAAGGAGGGAGAGGAAGGCCATCGATATCCTTTGAGGACTTTGTTCAAAGTGACGCTGCTGCCTGAGAAGTCCCGCCACCGCCCGAGACCAACTGCCACCGCTGGACATCTTCATTGCCACTCGTGAGATCGCCGCTGTCACCGGACGAAATGGTCGCAGTTGCCGCTGCAGCCGCCGCCGCCTTTGCTGGAACCCTGTCACGCTGTCGTGACGAAAAGGGCTTGCTTCGCCTCCCTACGAGCCGTCGCCGAGCACTCCGCCGAAGTCTCTTGACTCCTAGTTCGACTGCCACCTCTTCCTTCAAAACTCCACCATAAACTCGCCGGAGCTGCCATCCGCCGCTCCGCCCAGTCGTTGGCTGTTTGCCGACGAATGCCTACTTGCCACCGACGTCGGGAGAGACCCTGCAGGCGTGCCGACGAGCCAGATCAAGTCCAAGCTCCTCACAGGCTCCCGCCAGAGTTTCCCGACGATCCACCGCCGTCACACCGTTTCCGGCGCCGCCTAGACCAAGAGGGCTCAATCCTCCCTGGTATCATCGGCCGGGATCGTCTCCTTCCTCTGCTCCACTTCCCAACGCTGCTAGAGAAGGCCGATCCTTCTAGCGACAGTTGGGCTTCCGCCCAACCGCCGACGCTTGGCATTCCCACCGAAGCGCCGGCGCCGCCGCCGCGTGCGCCCCGCGCGCCGGCTCCTGTGGCCCACGCGCCCACCCGGCGCTGCCGCCTGTGTGCCCCGAGGCATACCACGTGCGCCTGCTAGCGTGCCCTTCGGCCCACCAGCGGGCCCATGCCTGCGCCAACCGCGCCACGCCTTACGACGATGACTACTGCGACTCTCGACCAGAACCGACCGTCGACGTGGAGCATTGCTCTTCACCGGACGTCTCTACTTGCGTTGAGTCTCCGCTCCGTCACGACCCGCCAGGCTACGCAGCCCCGAAGGTTAGCTCCGTACCCCTTCTTACTTAAGTTTAATTATCTTTCGAAGGGTTTTCTTGGCTCATTTCCACCGCCATCAGGAGAATGTAGATAGGATAGGATGGGTTATAGGATTGTGACTTCTGACGCTGCACTAGACTCATCATCGTTCGTGAGCTGTAGCCCTAGGCTACTTCACGATGACCGTTCCGCCATCTGTCCGGATGTGGACTGAGAGAGTCTCACACTTACCATCGTCGAGTGTTTCTCTGAGTTGTCCTAGGTTGATAGTGCATATTGGTATGCCTGCCTGTACTTAGGTTAGGTGGTCAGACCTAGAGTCTAGGGTCCATACATTCTTATGGGATCAGTCCAACTACCTCATCCCAGGTCTTGAGTTTCATTGATCAGGTACAAGGGTTCTTGTCCTGTCCTACATCAGACCCCCATTCTTGACTAAATCAAACTATTTCTATTTGAAAAATATAATGAAAATATTTTTAAGGTATGTAGATTTGGGTGCATGGAGTGTTTATAAAAAAAGGTCCATATAAAGATGATGACAAAAATTTGAGACTTTTGAATGACAAGATTATGAATATATTACATTGTGTTGTTGAAGTAAATGAGTTTCATGAGTGAGCCTATTTTTAAAGCAGACACTACTACCAAGCGGAGTAACACAAGATCTGCCTCTTGGGTCATGTCTATATATTGATTCCTCTACATAACAATTTGTTCTGCTACCTTAAGACAATTAGAGTTATTGCCATGATAAAACAAAATCGAGGGTCGTTGAAAGCCCCAAAATCAGTTGATCAAAAAATATTTAGAATCTCGAATTTAAAAAATTAAAATACTAAAATAAGTAATTACTATGGTAAGTTCGAGATCAATCCACATGGAATGAGGATTAGGTGTTAATTAGTTACTATTTAATTTAATTGATAGATTTTAATTCAAACAAACTCAAGAGAAAGGCGATGGTGAGTAAGAAGAATTTTCACCATCAGAAAAGGAGGAAATGAAAGTTCAACGATGTAGAAGACGATTAAAAACGGGAAAACATTCACAAATGATTTGCAAAATGAAGTTAACACTATACTTCTATCTATTCAAACCTAGAGAAGCTAGATTATTGTTCACACTCGGAACGCATCAAATCTAGAGAAACTTACCTCGGGCCTCTACATTTTGCCAAGGCCAAGCAGTTTTCTCTTCGAGTATGCTTCTCCAACGATCTCAACTACAAAACAAAGCTTGAATCAACTTGAAAATATTAAGATTGCTGTAGAACCTCAATGTGGTTTCATTCAATTGACTAAATGTCGAGACATTCAAAGTTCAGTTCTTCCACCTCTAAACGGTGGCTTAAATGCATAAGGGTTTACACGAGAGGATGGGAATACACGTGTAGGGCTGTGATTAAATGAAGGTATTTTTATCTTTTTGACCGTGATAAAATCAGCCGAGAGATGGTTTCTTCTCGAGTTGATCTAAAGCATTGGATTTGAAAGTTTTGTCGTACCCGTAGGATCTTCCTAAATGTTGAGATCCGTTGTACCCTCGATAAGTATGCTCCATCTATCATTGACTGCGTGGACGTTCTCGATGGCTTATGATCTCCTCATTTAATGATGTCATGTGTCAGTGTTTCAACCCTTGATTCTGTCGCCTCATCTCCACATATCATATCTCATATGTCCTAAAAACCATAAAAAGATATTAAAAATTTATGAAATTCTCTCATATTAATAAAAAATCAATTATGACTGTAAAACTCAGAGAAAAATCCCGAATTTTTTTCTAAAGTATTAAACTTCATGAAATACTCAAAGAAATAATTTAAAGCTTATCACACTTCTCCTTTTGCTCTTAAAGCAATACTTGTTCTTAGCGAATCTAGTTCAAATGAAGAAGATCTCATAGTCCTTCTCCTTGAATAATTTAAAAAGATATTGAATACAAGAAGGAAAGAAAAGTATAGGAATTTACAAAATTCTCCTTCTAGTTCAGATAAAGCTAAAGAAGTTTGTTATGAATGTAATAGGGTAGGTCATATCAAAGCCAACTGTCCAAAACTGAAAAGAGAGCAAAATATAAGGACCACAATTATGGCAGCAACATGGAGTGAAGATGAAGTCAGCTCGGATGATGAGAAGGCACAATTACGTCTTACAACAAAAATTGATGAGGTACA